AGGGAAATGATCAGGATTGCCCCTGTCACTGATTCCACATGAGGGATATGGAAAAAATATCACCAGGCAAATGGACAATTGTAGTAGCGTTATATCACTGCAATCCATGCCTTGCAATATGGATCCTGTTCCATGCCTCGGAGTCTGGGAATGTTGTAGTGTCCCAATGCTAAAGGATAATTTATTCTGAATTGCAAGCATCGAGCGCTTTTTCCTGCCAATTCGACCTACGTTATTCTTCTGCCTTGATCAACCGAGTCCCCTACTATTGCAGTGTTTCTGTGATGGCTACTCTGACGCCTCCTATGCCTCACGCAAAAACAGGGTCTCATTGCAGCCCTAAACTTGGGTATGTTGAAATAGGTTTCTTTGGTTTAGAGCTATATTCGTTATATGGTTTGCAGGAATCTTCTAAGATTTCAAGCTATCTCCAAATCGGTGAAATAGCGTATATGTAGCTTTATATCTAGGATTACGAATCCTGCCTCCCGTAGCTGCCACTATCATGTATTGCTCCGGTTGACAAAGGAACTAGCTAGCCTAGAACGGCAGAATAGAATCAATAATAAAAAGAAAAACATACAACAGCGGCGATTCGGTGGTGGTCCACCACCCAACTACTAACTGGCCGGCGTGTGGCTTGAACGCAGTCAAAAGGTGGGTGGGTGCTTACTTAAAATCCTCGCCGCCAGGGCACTACAGGAGCTTGTGGTTAACTTCGATTCCTGCTATCTCGGTTCACGGAAGCCCTGCGATATTTTGTTGAATCTTTTACATTTGCCGCAACACAGTACACTTCGCATCTATCACCTGGCAGATGGACTGACGCTCACCGGATACTAAACAATTAACGAGGATGAGGTCTTCCGCAGACAAAGTTCAAGTCTAGAGAGTGTCCACACAGTGCGAGCCTCGTTGGATGTGTCCTAGGACAGGAAATATGGTTCACTTGTCTCCGATACGTGGAGGGGGAGGAAATCTGAGCTTCCTGCTGTTAATCCTGTTCAGTTCTACGGGTTCTCTGGAATCAGTTACTGACGGGTGTGACCATGACTGGGCTTGGGATGGCCTAGAGAAGGTTTTAAATGAGTTTCAGCCTGGGGGGAAGCCGTGTTGGAATATTTCCGCTAATACTTCATGAATAGTTATACTATCAGACCATGACGGCTCCTTTGCTCTGTTTGTGAAGTCAAGTCGTAACATGTATGCACGATATGTGACTCAATACCATTCTGCATGGTGGGACTCGCTCAGCGACATGCTTCTAGATTAACATTTAAAATAAGTTTGATTGTTGTCGCGTTGCTGAGCAATCAGACCCGTTAACCACACACAGAATATATGCAACATCTGTATTGAGAGGAGAAAAAGTGCGTTTAAGGAATGTGAAGCTTTCGTATTTGCTAGTCAGCTTCCTTGTCTCCATGGATACGGTATCGCCTAACAAGTTGGAAAGCACATCTGCTCGCGGAAGGCCTCCAATGCCTTCTCCTCTAATTCGATGTGAGCTGGACGGGATGATTGCATGTCGTCTGATGAGGTCCATCCTAGGAATCGTGATGACTTGGCTATTAATATCCATGATGACGAGCAATTAGGCCAGTCACGTAAAAGTCGGGCATAGCAATTTTCAATCGGTCGTCATAGCTGTGCAGTCGTGAGGGCAGCGCCCTGGATTAAGGGCCCTCCATATAATGAGGTAGGCTGAGCCTCATAGTCCTCAAATTTTGGAAAGCTGCACCATTCTGCAGAAGGAGCAAGAAGCATGAAAGCAAATATATCACGACTGTGATTAATAGTTGTTTCTGCGTTTAGTTTGTTGTGTCTTGCTACACAACTTACTCCGAGTACAAAGGATCACTATGTAATTTTGGAAAAAAAAAAAAAAAATCCGAGCGCTTATTAATGATTAGCCAATATTTATAAATGCCGACTAAGAGTATTTGACAGAGTTCAATGAAGTTAGTATATTCGCTTCGGCTTGTGGCTTGGATCGTCGGCCCAAAGCTTACCAAGACACTTGCATTCTTCATGGTTGAAACCAACCCGATGTAACGCTTTGTCAACCATAACACCATTTAGCTGAAAATGGCATCTAAAGAACCAATCCTAGTAGTAGCGTCCTAGCGTAATAACATGTTCAACACACTCCTAAGTTATTTTTCACAGTAGGCAAGGCGAATACGCCAAGAGTATGAACTTAACCGATTCGACCTCATCAGCATGATTACTGTTTTGGCTCGTATCAGTCAATAATTTGATATGGTGTCTAGTCTCAGCCACTGAGAAGTAAGATAGATAATGCTTCAAAGAGGCATACTGTATCATTTTCTTAAATGGGCAAGCGATACTGGGTACTGTGATATTAGGCCACTATCGAAGTTCATACTGGCACCTCAGCGGACGATGAAGACTACCTTGATTCGGTGTGAGCGACACTGTGCATACCGTGCGTGATTTCCAATGGAACCGTGGGATTAACTTAGGTCGCTGTAGCCTTGTTGGCATGTTCAACCCATTTCTCGGATCCGTTAGAAGTTCGCCAATAATCCTGGATTTATCAGACTTGTAAGTCTTTGTACCACCTGAGACATCAGCCCCGCCTGTCCACATCATAATTCATGCCAGGGAATATGCATACTCAACCTGCGTCGACCCCGAGGACTCCGACTTAAGACGTGCCACGAAGACTTCAACTACTCTACTTGCTCACAAATGACTTGTGACATGGTCGATTCTATCCTTGCTTGGAGAAGACTACTTCCTCGAATTGACAGGCTGAGAATTGAGTCATTCAGCGGATATATATATAGTGATGCTCATTTGCCTCTCATGCCCTAAGCTGGGAGGCTCACCGCATCACCTCAGCCAAGAGTGCAAAGACGGTCATAATCACCTCATGATCATGAGACAAATCTTGTGTGGATAGGATAACGGACGGTAATTTACGAGTCTAAAGACCGAACTCAGTCCATCGCCGTAGAACCTTCTCCTTGACTTCCTCTGGGTACCCATTCTCAAAATCACAAACCACCCACTTTTGCTCTTGGTTATACTCGTGAGGCAGTAGACAGTTAGCAACTACCTTTCCCCCTGTCAACTTGGTTCCCGGTCCATGCGACATGTACGGCACCAATGGATAGGCAGCGACGTCTTCGAAATGGTACTCATCCATTCCCGGCCGGCAGCGGCTAGCATATGACCAAATGACGTCTTTGAAGTTAAAGGGATCGATGTCATCTCCAACAATTAGGAGACGATGGATTTGCATGCCGCATTTACGCCGGAAGATGAGGTCTCCGATCTTGCGGCAGAAATCTGCTGCGTTCGTTCTCAGTGCCCATAGCTTCTTTCTATCTACCTGCACCGCAGCCCAGATGACCTGCGTTTCATAGGGAGTGAAAACATTAAGGACTGGAAGTCCATTCTCTTGGAGCAGCTGCCTGATCTCTGCAGCTGCCAGTGTGCCGATCAGTGTGTGAGTCTCGTCGGGGCCCGTGGCGCGTCCCGGGACAGAGATGGGGAGGATAGCCCCCCCACTGCGATAGGTGATAGCCGTAACGTTGTATATTGGCTGAATGGACTCTTCGTCCAAGAAGCTATAACCGTGCATCTCTCCAAATGGACCCTCTTTGGCCCGTTGAGAGATGGACACGGTACCTTCAATCACAATCTCACTCCGCGCCGGGACATAGAGATCATTTGTCTCGCATTTCACCAGTTCAAGTGGCTCGCCGCATAGAGCGCCGACATATTCAGATTCCGTGACTCCTTCTGGAAGAGGCATGCTGGATGCCATCACGGCAATTGGAGGAGCGCCAAGGGCAATTGCGTAAGGCATATCCTTGCCGGATTCCTTCCATTGTTCGTAGATGCGGGCGATGTGCTGTGGCTTCATGATCAGGCCAACCATGTGGGTTTTGTCAAGGACCATGGCACGCGCAATTGACCAGTTGACCCATGGCTTGGTCGGATGCTGCACGATATTAATGCCCATGGTTTGGATGTAATCGCCGCCGTCGGCTTTGTTGAGGAGTGGTGCGGGAAGCTTCATCAAGTCAATGTCGACCCCAAAGAGCTTGTGCTCCTTGCAGGGGCCAGTCTCGACATGAACCGGAGGGATAGGCTCTTTCCCCTTTGCGGAGAGCATCTTGTCGATGAAATCGCCTAAGCTGGATGTTGGGGGGAGACCGACATGTCTCGCAAGTCGACGATATGGGTATTGATGGTCGCTGGAAAGACCGCCTGAAGCACCAAAAATACGGAATAAGCCGTCATGGGCGCCCCTGACATTGTTGAATAGGGGGGCTTTGGATCGGAGCTCGTATGTACGTCTTGTTATGGCGGCTACTTCTAGGTGAGGGTCGACTTCGGCATTGATCTCAGCTAAGTCATTGTCGGACCGGAGAGCATCGACAAAAGCGCGGAGATCAAGGTACGGCTGGTATGTGCTGGAGTTCATTTTGGCTGAATTTGGACAAATTAATGAGAATGGAGGTCAGAGTACAATTCAAAATGTAAATAGCTGTGGGATATCGGCCCTTTGAAGAGTCCTATCTGTACGCTCGTACATTTATATCGCCAAATTGAAACAACAAGACAAATATGTACTCAGTCGCCTGTTAGCTTCGATGACATGGTATTAGCTTCGATGACATGAATGTTAGGTAATGAGTATCTGCTGAGTAACGATGTGCGAATTACGACCTGGTGTGGCTGCGGTTGTTGTAAGTCGCACCTCGTAAGAAAGCGTCGTTGATCTGATTGTATCTCCGTGTCTTCTCCTTTACGCCGTTCGATTCTTTCTTGGCTTGAAACAGGATGACCAAGACAAGTTCGCTTGCTAAGCATGCAGGTGGAGTACATACAAGATTGCCGATCTATTCTTGGGAATATCAATCTAGATCCAGATCTCATTGGCGTAGATTGGATAGTGGAGAACACTTGATTACGGGAAATAGAAACCACATTCGATTGAATTTACTTTGCTAAGGTCTAGACTACCCCTTGGCCTGTCTTTTCTTCGCCTCCCATTGAAACCCCGTCCATCGTTCACCCTGCTCACTGTGGCTCTCAATTCCCAAATCTAGCAAATCAATTATCCTAGTCACACTCTGCTCCACCATCTCTTGTATATTTTTCGGCCGGGTATAGAATGCCATCACAGGAGGAAATAAAACAGCACCAGCATGTGTCAACCGCAGCATATTTTCTAAATGGATGGAACTCAAGGGAGTCTCTCTCGCCACAAGCACAAGTCTTCTTCGTTCCTTGAGGGTTACGCTAGCTGCGCGAGTGATGAGATCATCATCGTATCCCATTCGGATACCGGCCAGAGTCTTCATGCTGCATGGGACGACAATCATGCCGTCTGTTCGGAAGGAGCCTGAGGATATAGAGGCGGAGACGTCGCGCGGTGCGTAGGTTGTATGGGCAAGCGATTGCAGGTAACTAGGTGTGTTGTGAGGTGGATCTAGTTCATATTTCAAGGTGGCAGCTCCCCATTTGGACATTATTAGATGGGATTCGACATCTAGCCGACGGAGGTTCTCGAGGAGGCTGACTGCCAGCGGTGCTCCGGTTGCCCCTGTTACCGCAATGATTATGCGTTTGCGCACGGTGGAGATTGACATGGTAAATAGTACCAGAGTACTCTTCAGAGAAATATTCCAAAAGAAGTGTGCATGGGCGAGTAAGAAAACAGTATACGATTCCTGGGTAGCATATGATTTTTTATATGTAAGATGAAATAGATCAAGTGATAGCCCTTGATGAGTTGTGCCCCGCTGCCGACCTCCAGGCTGAGTACGGTGAATATGCTAGAGACTAACTGAACCGGTTCGAGCTTATCCTGATACAAAAATGTCCTACTAATTAGCGGCTGAGTCGGAGAGAAGCTAAGGTGCCACTCTTTCGTAAGCTCCCTGAGACACGGCATTTAGTTATCTTTATTTAAGACTGAGTCATCTCTTACAAATGTACTCCAATCCAAAATCCTTTGCGGCATGATCATGTTTTGACCTCTTCTAATAGCACAAGATTATGATTGGGTCATAAACATTCGTGTATGTATGCTTCCCCTCTTACTTTGAACATGTCTGAACCTTGCTCGAAGCAATGTAAGCTTCCCCATAATGCCCTCGGAGCTGAGGAATCTGCTAGTTCTCTACCGTAAATGAGTTTCTGATGCTGGGCCCTCATGTGCTCTGCATCCTAGTCTTCAAGGCCCTTATGAGAGTGCTACACGTGATAGCAGAACCTACGTCCTGCGCTTTAGCTTTAGGATGTACTCTATCCTCCTTCGTCGAGTATCGAGACGGGAAGCGCTTAATGCGGCATAGAAACAGTCCACAAATATAATGCTATTGCCTGCAACAGATAGTACATAATGCGTACTCCAATCTAATTGCTTGAATATTGTGAATGCATATACAATTTCAGTCATTGGTGGGAAGGGCATCCAGCGGGGCATTATGTGGATTGAAATAGATTAATAGCGGGTTATAATATGATATAAGATTAAGTATCATGCCATACATGACTCTCCGGATGGCCTATTGTATTCTAATGGAATATAAATACCTCGGTATTCAGATGAGCAAAACTATTCTCTTTCATCAGGAGCGTACCGATGAATTCAAACCTCCTTACCCGGGCCCATCTTGTTGCCAGGTACCTCAAAGTCAACCCGAGTTCCCAGCTTGCAAGGCCCATGGCAAGCAAAGCAATCCATAATTTCCCCTTCGCTCGTTCGAAGGCCGCAGAACCCCCTGCTGAGTTTGCTGCTCTTCGATCTGCTTGCCCCATCAGCCGTGTCAAGCTTTGGGATGGAAGCGAGCCGTGGCTCGTTGTCAAGCACGAGGATGTATGCAATGTCCTGACTGACAGCAGGCTTTCAAAAATGTGTTGTCCCCGGTCTTAGCTCTTGAATGCTAAAGCTCATATCATACCAGGAGCGTCAGCGCCCTGGATATCCGGAAATGACACCAGGAGGTAAGGCTGCTGCGAAGAATCGTCCGACTTTCGTGGATATGGATCCCCCGGATCACATGCGACAAAGGTAGTGTTTCACCCAATGGCAAGTTGCTATACATATCCTATTGAAGTATGCTGAAATCGGCAATAGAAGCATGGTTGCAAAATTTTTCAACCGCGAACACGTCAACAGCTTGAAGCCATTCATCACAGCAACAGTGGACTCGTTTCTCGATAAGCTGGTTAAGAAGGGGTGTGACTTGCCTGTTGATTTCATTGAGCACTTTACTCTACCAATCCCAACATTGGTATGTCGTGGCCCTTTTCCTTGCTCTCTATCCCAGCCTGTTTGTCAAGCATTCGGCTAAATTTTGTTTAGGTCATTAACCATATTCTTGGTATTCCAGTTGAAGACGTTGCCTACTTGACCGAAAGGAACGCCGTTCGCAGCAATGGTAGTTCCACTGCAGCTGCAGCCCAGGATGCTAATCGGTTAGTCTTCGAGTCCCATATCATTCGGAATGCAAATTAAGAGATAACTCGACGCCTAGGGATCTCTTAGACTACTTGGCAAGGCTGGTAGACAAGCGAGCCACTAATCCTACAGACGATCTCATCAGTACACTCATCATGGAACAGGTAGGACGAAGCCAGATATCGTTGAATATTATCTATGTACTCGGCTAAGTGCGGCAGTTGATACCCGGCCATCTTGAGAAACTCGACGTCATCCAAATTGCTTTCCTACTGCTCGTAGCGGGAAATGCAACCATAGTCAATATGATCAACTTGGTAAGCCAGATTCAAACTGAAATTCATGAAGCCTGAGATTGATTAAACATGCCAATCTGGTAGGGCGTCGTGACGCTCCTCGAGAACCCAGCCCAGCTGGATGATCTCAAGAAGGATCCGTCACTTGCACCAGCATTTGTGGAAGAGCTTTATCGGTATCACACTGCCTCGGCACTTGCTACTCGACGAGTCGCGAAGGTCGACATTACCTTAAGAGACCAAGTAAGGCGCTTCTAATTGGCCAGTGTCCGGGGCTGGCAAGGCATCTAACATGACGTATTGTTTTCAGATAATCAAAGCAGGCGAGGGTATTATTGCCTCGAACCAGTCTGCTAATCGTGACGAAGAAGTCTTTCCCGATCCGGATACCTTCAACCTGCACAGGAAGATTGACTCGGTGAAGAACCTCGCTTTTGGGTTCGGAGACCATCGCTGTGTAGCTGAGGCGCTTGCTCGGGCCGAATTAGAAGCAGTATTTGGTGAGTAGGAAAGCGATGAAAGAAGACAGTAGGATATGCTAATGTGCCATATAGCCTCTCTCTTCCAGAAGCTCCCGAATCTGAAGCTCGCGATTTCTCACAATGAGATCAAATATTCAGCTCCGCACAGAGATGTTGGAATCGTCGAGTTGCCGGTTGTTTGGTGATTGATTTAGTACTATCTTATTCTCCAGATCGAATATAGGAAAATTGCCAATGCAGTAGTTTGTGAATGGTGAAGCCATTTTTTCCGGTATGACAGTCTCACTTCATGTTCCTCATGAAATTATTCATTATAATAGCTGTATAATCCTTAGGTTTCCATTGCACAAGATCATACCAATGCAGTGCAACCTTTCTAGGGTCGACGCAGACTAGTGATAGACTGGCAAAATGCTGAGGCTGTAGCTGCTGCAGGCCGAAATAAAAACGCCATCAATCGTACTTAAGGGGGAGATTAGGTAGGTCTGAAGCGTAAGACATTAGAGAAAGCAAGAAAAAGTGCAAAATAAGACTTAACAGTATTTGATTTGACCCAATTAAGGGGTTGGTCTTATACCCATATCAACTTGAAGAAAGGTACTGACAGATCGACAAGACTTTTTATTTCTAAGACCAGTCACGGATACTTGTCTCCCAAGATATGTCTAAAGCTGGTCAACTTGGATAGCGACAATCTTCGCACCCTCAGTAATTGTCCCGTTGACGGGTGCTGCCAGTGCTCCCGATGTAGCGACATAGAGGATTTTGTCGTTTTCTCCAAACAACGCACTTGTAGCACCGGCGACGGTGAGCTGGGTTTTCGCCCCAATGATTTTCTCGACGAGCCCGTCGCGATTCAGCTTTGTGACAATGTTCTCGAAATTTCCCGTCACGTAGATATCCCCGGTCGCAGTATCATACGTAAAGTCGTCACCCCAGACGCCAGTTGCCAAGGTAGTATAGGGACCGATCGCGCGTCCGTTGACGGGGTCGATCTTCACTCGACTGAGGGTCTCCTTCAGGCTGTTGGTGTAGTACAAAAATGTTTCCCTGTCGATCGTTACTGTGTGGATACCATTCAAGCCCAAGTTGGTCCCAGCTGGTGGCTTCATGGTCTCGTCCTGGTGAATAACTTTGTAGTCACCAGTTTCGGGGTTCAGTCGATATACCGTGCCCTCCCAGCTATCTCCAATGAGAAGGGTGCCAGTGTGCTTGTTCAAGACGGTTAATCCATTCAAGAATCCCGCCTCGGGGATATCCGAGATCTTCTTGGCAGAGACACGGTCGGAACGAGCACCAGAGAACCATACGTCCCAGACGGAGTAGCTTCCTGCGGAAGGCTCCTTTGTTTCGAGGCTGAAGTTCCCAACGACAACTGCGAAGTGATTCTTCTTGAACTCTGCGATTCCTAGGGCGCCAGTAACACCGGGGAAGGATCGAATGAGCTTCGCTGATGGCGTTCCGGCGCCAGGGCCACACCGAGATTTGGGGTTGGTAATTTGGTAGATGGCAGGGATGTCGAGTCTGGTCGCGAGGATGCTGTTGAAAGGACCCGTCTCGAGGTTTTCAAGCCACGCGCCATGAGGAAATTGGTAGAGGGTTGAAATAGAATTCTTCAGCTCGCCCACGCTGAGGGCGACGAAGGAAAAGGCCAGCAAGGAGCCAAGTATTTTCGAGACCATTGTGCTTCTTCGGATGTGTTTGATGATAGGAAAGAAAGAAAAAGAGGACCTGGCTATTGAAGGAGGGACCGTATTGGATTCCTAAGGAAGCAGCATCTCTTATATAGAAGCTCGGGTACAGAGACGTCAGTCATGCTTCGCATACAGATCCATAAACATGAGATCCGCTATTCAACTGAGCTTCCATCTCCAAGCTTACCAAACCAGCTACTAACCATCCGTCAGCATCGGGTACAAGAGGCTGACGACCGAATATTGGGCACTATATTGCAGGAAAATATAATCCTTCAGATCTCTGTCTCGGGTCGATCTGAGACAATTGATCATGATCTTGCTCGTAATCCGAGACTGGCGACTTGGCTGCCGTGTTGTAGCCGACCTTCCATTCGATGGCGGCGCAGAGGAGGGTCAACAGGAACCAAATGGCTTATTAAATTTTCACTAATGCTGCATAATTCTGGCCCATCGGTTTGGTGGACTTCGTGATAACGGTTTGTTCGAGCCAACCGCTCGCAATCTGTAGTGAACCCCGAAGCCCACCTCTCCTTAGAGAACACGCAACGACTATGTACCTACACGGGAGAGACATTAAGAGGTACCGATTATTACCATGGCTCCTGGCCCCTGGTCCGTTTCCAGGAAATTTACCATGGCCTTGGATCCGTCATCTGCGTGCTCAAGGTTGGTCCCAAAATTTGGGTACGGAGAGTCCAAGAGAGACCACGACTTCTACTGAACGTGGCGTCGGGACTGGTCAACCGCTTACTGTTCAGCTTTGCTTGACGTGAGATACTGGCATATTCGTGAACTATGGCTGCTTCTCCTCTTATTTATTACTATTATCTGGACCTTCAACTCTTTTCCCTGCTATTTATTGAATCCCTGAACTCTCCACTTGACTGTGCCTGGCCACCAGGACTTCCCATCCTTCATCATCAAGGATGTAGTAAAAATTGAGCCAAGTGTGTTAAGTCAAACGTGTGGAGCTTCCCTATTCCGAGCTGAGTACTTTGAATTTCTCCAGGTCTTGGTAAGTTTGCCTCGCGCACATCATATTTGCCCAGCACAACATCGTCTAATCTACCACCCGACAGCATGCATTATGCCGTCGAAGGGGCAAATCACGAATCGCATTGCCTACGGTCAATTTCCGAATGGCGATCTACGGACCAACGATTTTCAACAGACGCATTAGGTATCTAGACCACTCTGGCTGGACCCTTCACGGTCGCGTCCTATTCCATCCCTGTCGCCCCCACCGTATTAACCGTTGTCAATGACCGGAGCTCTTAGCAAAGTCACATTGTCCGAAGGGCCTCCAATATGACGATTTATTCAAGCTCATTGTCGGCAATCACGTCGAACTTCTATCACTTGTGGAAATAGCCTTTTGGCCTTTGGCACAGCCAAGGCCCTAGTCGGCTATTTTTGGTACCTGCAATTGAGACATGCTTCTTCTTTCTGCTTCTTTCTTCTTCGTCGAACCTATCGTCGCAGGCTTTCTTATCCTTTTTATGACAATCTCATGGCGACTCAGGCCATGCGGAGAGATCATGGGCCGTTGATAGTTCGACTCCACCAGATCCACTGTAGCATGGAACGTTACCTGGTTCCGCGCTCTGGATAAAGTGGCGACGTTTGTCACAAGCCATGTAAAGTTTGGCCCCCAACTTTGAGCCACTCAGTCTGCAGGGCAAATCCTAATTAAGTTAATGGTCTTCGTTGGCTGTGGCATGCATGTAGTCCCTTCTACAGAAGGTCATGTCTTATCAACGATCACAGTCCTAGAGTTGCCGCTACTTTAGAAGAACTATTTCGAGATCCTCCTAATATCGTTCCCGTTGTTAACAAAGGGCGACCTGGAAATCCCAATACTATCACTGCCCTCTTTTCCGTAATCGCTCCCCAGTCAGAATCCGTCTTATCTGAGCCGCCCTCTGGGTTTCCTTCCTCGGAGATTTCTAAAGTCCCGTTGCGTCCTGGACCCTCGAAAGAAGAGCGCGGCTTCATGTTTGTTGATTTTCAGGCTGACGTGTCTCAAGCCATTGGAGTCGGGAGGCAGAAAAAGGCCTTCCTTTCCAAACTTGCTCATCAGAGAAGGAAGCAAGAGTCCATAAATAGGCTGAAATACTCTCGACCCTTTTCGAACAACGTCTCGCAGGAGGGGAATCCACCCCAGCGGACAGCCCCTTCGGAGGCCAACTCAATGCAGGTCCCAACGAAGCGTGGAATATGTTCATTAACAAGATACGTCGGCCAAGGTTATGTGGATCCATTTGACACTTATTCAGTGCCCATGACGGATGCCATGAACATGTATTTCTATCATTGTACGTGATTCAGTAATGGTAGCCGGTGGTAAAAGAAAATCCTAAATGCCTTAATAGACAGAGTTCGGGTCGTCTCCTCTGCGTATCCTCTCGATGCTGCTCGGATGAGTATTTTCTGGTCGCGGAACGCAGTCGTTTCGCCCGCTTTGCTCCAGACATTCCTCTTCCTGGCTGCCACGCATAAAGCGGCTCTGGAGTCTAATAAAGGGGTCTCGTCCCAGGTTACTCAAAAGTCTTTCAGAGATTCCATCCGTTTCCGGGTTAATGCCATCAGAACCTTGAACGACCTTCTCCAGGATCCCACAACAGCGGCAGCAGAATCTACCATAATGCTTGTGGGTGCAATTATGTCATTCGAGGTATGTGTGTTATTCTCGTTGATAAGACTGTCCTAGACTTTGCTAATGATTATTTGGTCTAGGCACTCAATGCAGAGTTCAAGTCACTGCAGGCTCATATGGAAGGCCTAAAAACACTTATAAGATTGAAAGGCGGGTTGCATGCATTGAATCATATGACGCTGTCAAAAATATACCAGTACAATGCCCTTCTCATTTCCGTGTCAGTACATCTCAACTGACTCTTAACAGCAGCGACGTGGCCTGTGCGGCTCTGCAGAATTCAAGGCCAAGCTTCCCGATGTTGCCTAGATTTCGTAGCGGGATCCTGCAGGAAGCAAGAATGTTCCACAGAGGCGTTAGCGACTTTGGATCTGGGATCCCTGCTGCTCTAACCTCTCTCGGCACTCGTTTTGCCAGGACTTCCTGGTATTCCGAGCTAGATTCATCCATGAAATACACTATCGACGTATGCCAACGGCTCCTTTTGCACCTTGAGATGGCAACTATAATACCCAATGTTGTCATGCCCACAGACAATGACCTCTACCTTCTTTTCCAACATCATCTCCTTTCCCTCCACTACCCCATTCGAAAAAATGATTTGAATGAGCCAATTCGTCGAACGCTCTTCATATACTTATTCCTGTTTGTCTCGTACTTCCAGAGCTTCCCAATTATGCAGCACCTGGTTGATGCGCTCAGAGAAAGCATAGTCCTTAGGCTTCCATATTTGGAGGTTACCGCTCCCGACTTACTATTCTGGATTCTCTTCATTGGAGGCATGGCGTCGCAGGGATACAGCTCCCATCCATGGTTTGTGGTTCATACTAGGGCCATGGCGGCTCGTCTTGACCTGGAGCAATGGGACAAGGCCCGACCTGTGCTCATGGAGTTTTTCTACACTGGTCAACCTGGACAGAAGGGGGCGGAGGACTTGTGGAATGAGGTGCTGGCCCCTTCATACCCTTATATAGCTCCCAAACCTGCGTTGGCGGCTCTCGAAATCCATCGGACGAATTGAAGTTCAAATCTTATTCATTGACCCATGCGAGTATCTACATCGTTGCTTGTGGCTACTTGGGCGGAATTTATTGGCTTCCCTATTTACTAGGTAGGTGATGGTATGAAATATCGTGTATGTCTTATTTTCGGTCTTCAGATATGGTGGCTACTGGGCTCTTCAAGGGCACCATATCTATAACCCTCTGCTTACCGGATCGTAAACCTAGCTTGGCTCTGTAGCGATCGCGTCAAGTACGAGCATAATTCAAAGATTCTGAGGAAGGGCAGGCAAGAAAATGACATAGAAATTGGAAAAGTCGCTGAGGGTTATCTAGTTAGTTTCTATAGATTAGCATAGGTAACGCCTAGGTCTGTATCAAACAGTCCATCAAGTCATCCACTTCTAGTGGGTCGAATTTGAAAGTGTTGCACTAGCTAATTCTTCAAGGTAGCCCTGGACGTCGTCAAAAGGGAACTCATCCTCAGGCAAAGCCGCCGCTGAATGCGCACCCTGAAGTCGTTGGAGGACAGCAAATATCATGCGCCATTGCTGACGCAGATTTTTGACCTCGACTCTGAGGACGACGTTCTCCTTGACAAGCCGCGTGACATCGCTGGCCGTCTGAGTGTACTGTTTTAACAAGATTTGGTACTCGTTGCGGAGATCCTCGGCGTTTTTCTGCAGAAGCTTCTTCTGCTGCTCTTTGCGTTCGCGAAACCTGCGTTGAGCTTCTCTGTTTTGGACTCGGCGTTTGGCCTTGCACAGATAACATTAGCATTTGAATAGACTTGCAAGGGATAGGTTACATACAGTCTTGGGTCCACTCGCTTCAGTATCTATCGAAGAAGTTGTAGGAGAACTAGTAGGACTGGCTGTTGTTCTGCTAGGCGGCATACCCCCTGTCCCCTGGTGCCCTTGAAAGGTCATATAATTACCCTTCGCCGCCCAGTCAGCATTAAGAGGACGACGAAGACGTATATGGGTGGGTTTGGAACGCTACCAGTCCGCAGATCAGGCCCAGTGGCAAGGAAGGGTGGTCCGTTTCGGGTATGGACGGTGAGGGTCCTGGGATGGTAGTGGGACAGCGTAAAGTCAAATGAGGTTGATACTCCATTCTTGCATCCACCGCTGCTTCTCGACGACAAAAATCAAGGAAATGATGACTGATGATGGAATGTTGATGCCTATCCACTCGCGAGGATATACCCAGCGGTTATATACTACGTGGATTGTTATACGGATCAACGGTTAAGATATATTGTTTACCGTGAAGCTTTTGGCCAAGATCACTTGCTATAACGGGATTTCTGCCCCAGGAGCCGAGGACTGTGCCACCTGCCAATCAGAGATAACTGTGGCGGCCCTGTATTTGGTATAGCTTCTCTCCTGAGGGTCGCAGAACTCCGAGGGTCCTCGAAATGCTTACTAGGGTCTCGTTGAATACTTAATTACTTGGGAAGGTCCAACAGACTCTTATCGAGGCACCTCGTCTCTTGCCTTGTGTTTCAGCTGGTCGTGGTTCTTTTCGAGCTTGCTGGTGGTTGTGTCTCAGTGGGATTCGTATACTCCCACTAGCTCGCCTGACACGTATCTTACGTTACTCCTTCACATGACAGTGGCCCCTCAGATAAGGGGAATGAGCCGAGTAGGTCCTCATTTTTCAGCAGTCTTCTGTCTTCTCATATTCTGGGTCGTGGCTAAAGGATGCAGTTAGCCTGCCACTTAGGTCCTAGGACTCCCCTGGTAATCCTGGGTCATCACATCAGGCGCCCATTTCACAGAGATTGCCCTTCGAGCTGTCCAACCACAATGTAGCAGCGGGGCGTTACTCCCGAGAAGCAATTTTTAAGTGATATCAGCTAGATCTTGTAGCTAACTTGAATAGGAAATTGGTAACAGCCGATCCTGATGCTGGAGGGAGAATCATCCGCCTCTCCAGTCCGCTTCTTCCTGCATCCCCGGTCTTTGCATATGTCGTCGCTTATATAATATCTAGTTTGATCGGAGTTAGTCCGTAGGCTTTTGGTCTGTTGGCTTGAGGAGGGCCTTGTTGGGCTTGGGCTAGAAATCAAAAAATGTACGACTTCACGTTATAGTCAGGAACCTGCACGGCTCTAGAAAAAATTGGGAAAAATGCAACACTACATACTACATTGAAGGATGAAACCTACAGAGTGGCACAGGGAGCCTGACACTAGGACCTCTTCGGCTAACGAGTACATACGTGTTCTGAGATACTAAGAAGGACATGGTGTAGGTACCATGATATAGGGGAAAAAAAATTGAATCGTTTTCAAACCCGAATGTTAAGGCAGGTACTTGAAAAAATCTAGTAAACAGCATATGGGATCTAAATCACAACTTCAAGCTTAAATCGCCTCGTCTTTTCCATCCAGCCGTCTTCAAATGTGTAAAGCCCTCGTCCAGACGACGTTTTGCAGAATCTTTATACTTGGCCGCGTACAAATTGGGATCTAAATTCCTGGTTCAGGTTTCCCAGGGTATGATTGGCTTCATCCACGCTGATATACGGTAGGAGATCCTTCATAGTTCTGTTTCCCTCCGGTATTTGGCAACAATGCACGGCGATCTCAGGAGCTACCAACTTCTCCCATTGAGGTAGCTTACCCGCCTCGAGATCCTCGATTGCACGGCTGTAGGCAAGAGCCGCCTCTTCTTCAACGTAGCCGACGAATCAATGACAGGTCCGAGGCGATATAAGATATGAGAGGAAGAAGCCGTTGAAGAAGACACCCTGTGCCCCGAGGACAAGTTATTGCATAAGCCAGTCTTGGCCAGCTTCAAGAAAGTAAGCAGATGCGTCCGCTCGTTGTACGCTTCCATCAGAAGAGTTTCAATCCTGAGATTACATTTAGCTCTACCTTACAAGTATAAAATCAGAAACTCACCAGTCATTATCCCTCTTCAAAGGCCCACCGTGCCTGGGACACCGACAACACTCTCAAGGAAGATGGATCGGGTAAGCCACTTCTTCTCGGTCATCTGAATCTTGGCGTGACGTTTGTGGCCTGGAACAGGGGGTCTATATCGAGATACCAGATCCCTCCCTGGCGCAACACCCTAACGCAACCAAGAGCCACGCGGTCAGCCCAGCTTTTGGCGTCGCGATGGCCAACAGCGGCGGCACGCATCAGTTCTTCTGTGTACCTGGTTGCGTCGCGTTATTAGGAAAAGCATGATATGGGTAAAAGAATATGGCCGAGGTCGTAGCTAGACTTACACCGGATGAACCCATGCTGTCTCCACAGTTTAATATGGGTTGCTGTCCGCAAGGGAAGAAAACGTTCGACTTGTCAGGAAGCGCTGAGCAATTAACCGGCTGATGTCTATTGGAAGACCACGTGGGATACAATGGATAGCCTTTCTCCGTGCATATAGAAGGAGATAGGGCTTGGAATTGCACCGACTGCCCGTGCGGGTGTTGCTATTGCCGAATTCATATCGAGAAAGGCGAGTCGGTTTTCAAATCGTAGCGATTCGATAGGTACCTGATGATCATAGTTTCAAATGGCGTATAAATTTCGGTCAGCCTTGAAATCAAACACACCTAACTTGAGAAAAAGATCATACGATGCGGAGAGACAATTGTTTAGTAAAGACCATATCCTCAACTCGTCAATTCTGGCGAATGAACCGTTGAGCAAGCTTTAATTCCAAAGCTGAGAACTCGGCTGATTATCATACTAGGAAGATATGAGACAAGCGACCTGAGCTTTTCCTTGGCTGAAATTAAGCCAATCGAGAACAAGGCTCGACTCCTGCTTACTCGCTGATGTAACTTTAGAACAGCTCTGCTGACGAAAGCTCTTAGTCAAATGGGTTATTATCCGAGACGGCTGATGGTACGTATCCCTGGAACCCATTCGAGACCCTGGTGGTAAATGACTGCAACGTTCTAGATTCACGCCTTTAATCTATCCACGTATGAGACGTTCCGAAAAGGAACCGCGAGAGAAGAGCTCGCTTTGCTTCGTAGATGGTCGTCGTCACCATGACAGTGTCTCCATTTGTTCCCTCATCGAGGGGTCCGGCATGTCCTGGCAGATGCACGCGAACAGAAAATGCACTTGGGCGACATCGAAAGAAGAAATACTATTTGCGCGAATTATCAGAACTATGACTTCAAATATGGTACGGTAAAGCTATTCAGATCTTTCAAACACCCAGCGATCACGTCCTTGTCCTTTAAATGGAACACCAAGCTCCAAAAGTTTGACAAAAGCATCAGTGAATTCCTGAAAGAAGACATCGCTGTCTCTCGCATATCTTTCGACGTGTGGCTTGAATTCCGCGTCTTCAATGAGAGCCATATCAGTCGGTAGCATCATGAGGGTCTTCGTAGTTTTGTCGGTATATTGAAGAGGCCCATCCCATTCTCGTTTCAGCCACTCCTCTTCAACCAACAATCGGAAGAACTCGTTCGTAAACACTGTCGGGCTAAAGTCCCAGGGCCCTTCATATCCCGTCCGGTCTGTGTGCGCACGTCCAAGAGCATGAGCACCGCTGAGCGCCACAATCTCGCGATCGTTGAAGCCCATGCGGTAGAATATAGCTCGAAGGTGCGGTGGGCCCTTGGAAGCGATTGGCAAACGGCCGTCTGGTGGGCAAGCTGTGCTGTCGGCGTCTTGTCGTCCTGGCCTCCATGGTATCGTTGGCCCCCCTAGTTCTTGCACTGCTGCGACACCGGCCAACGTCCAGAGATCGGAATAGGTGATCCACGGGAACATCTCTGTCGCTAGTCTCAGTACACGTTTCTTAATAGTATATTGAACTGACACTTACTCCTGACCGGCTCCAGAAATTCTCGCGCATGAACCAAGCCCAGGTTTGCGCCGTGGTCGGATTCCGGCGCGAACCTCATCGTTGCCCCGTTACTCCCTCCCGTTCCGGTCGTTTTATCATAGGTACCACTGGTATGCCACGAAAGACGTAGTAGAACCTGTTGAGAGAATTTCAAATTGTTAGACCCAAGTAGCTTTGGATTATCCTGTTTTCATGACAACGTAATACGGAGTTACTCACAGGTCCATAACTCCCATCATCATACTCATCCATCTCAATCAACAGCCGGGCGATCTCATTGTAGACATTTTGGTAATCTTCCTTGGACGGAACGAAGATAGTTTGAATACCGCCGAACTTTTCTTCACTCATGAAGAGAAAGGCACTGGTGCCGGCCAAGGCAACACCAGCACCAAGAAGAGCCCATTTTGAGTGTGGACTCGACGCAGAAGATGGCGCGATGGTGAAGCCGCGCTTGAAAATATAGGCTTTTGTTTGAGTAAAGACAAAACCAGCCTGATTATGCAGGCATAGTCTGAAGTGAAGCCCACTGGGCGAGAAACCCAGTGGCCGCAAAACAGTTCTTCGAGGTAGCAACATATCCTTGATCTCAGGAAAACAGCGACAGACACGAAGTAAGGGTGCAGAACAGGCAATAAATTGATGGAGAGAAACAATCTATATACTCTACTTAATGTCGGGATAACAGGCCATACCCTACAGATGTCCACCTTTTCTCGTCAGGCCAGGAGAAATAGACAAAGGAGTAGTAAAGAGTGTGACAGTCACCTCATCCTCCGTCACAAGTCTTGGGATAGACAGTCTAGACCCTGCAATCATGGGTAGCTGGGAGAGACAGGGAGTCGAAAGGGTCAAGGCTACTGGGCAGAGTAGAAAACTAAATTCTCGAACGTAGTTTATGTCAGCCTCATCCTTGCTTACGGTAAGCTAATTAAATGCAATAGTTAACTACGGCAGTGGCTTGATTTTACTAAGCATTCAACACCGTAATCTTTAGTCATTGATGCAAAATATTCCTTCATAGCAGGTAGCTGCCATGCCCGTGATAGTACATCGCTCAATGGGATGGTCCACCCTGTTGTGTGCATCGTATCTCCAGCAATCAAGGTTCTTGTTAACAATCTTGAGGTTGGTCGACAGCTCAGCTCACACCCGAAGAAAAGTATATAAAGGACATATATTCCTGCATTTGAGAGCCTCTACTTTTAAGATCGTACAATTCAGACATTTTTGGACCAGTCACTACAACAAGATGGTCCTACAAATTCCACGTATCCTTTCCCAGGCGGTCCCTCGTACTCGCAGGAGCTCCATCATACCCACCTGGGCCAGCGCTAGGCGATCGTTCTCTGCTGAATTCTCCCCTCAAACCTACGCCCCAGACGCGCAGTATAGCTCAAATCATGTTTCGAAACTCCTTAAAACCTCTATCCTCTCTGAATTCTCCGAGCAGGAAGCCAAAGCTCGAATTGAGTTGGCTGCCTGTTATCGGCTCTTTGGGCTGAAGGGTTGGAACGAGAACATTTACGGCCATTTAACCGCCAAAGTCCACGAAAACGACGGCTCGGAGTCTTTCCTCATCAATCCTTTCGGCCTTCTTTACGGCGAAATCACCGCCAGTAGTCTGATTAAAGTCGGTGCGGACGGATCAGTCAAGCACCCTGGAGTTACAGGCGGCTTGTTCGGTATCAATGACGCGGGTTTCGTTATTCACAGTGCAATCCACAGGGCCCGACCCGATCTGCAGAGTGTCATGCACTGCCACTACCCCTCCGCTGCTGGTGTCTCATCCCTTAAGCAGGGCTTCCTCGAGCTCGCCCAGACCAGTCACCAAGTCGGACCGATTGCGTATCACGACTACCAGGGTGTGGTTGTCGATCGCAATGAACAAGAGAGCTTAGCAGAGGACATGGGCGATAAGAACATCATGTTCTTGCGCAACCACGGCGTTATTACCGCTGGCGCTTCTATTGGAGCTGCCTGGTACCTTATGTACCAGCTCCTTGCGGCCACTGACATTCAGTCCCATGCCTCTGCTTGTGCTTTGGGAGACGCGGATAATCTAAACATGCCCAGTGACAGGACCGTGAACAAGACCTACGAGGTGATGCATAAGAAGGGCTTCTCTGGTGCTGCCTATGGACTCAAGGAGTTGTCTGCCTATATACGCCTGCTGGACAAGCTTGATGACTCCTACCGCACTTGATCTTGGTGTTATGTAGTTGATCAGGGCGACCCGAAGGGTAGTAGCGCAGTGATAGTGGAAATATCATGTTTATTTTTCTCCTCTTTTTGACTGTATGCCTTTCATATTTATGCCTCAGGCTCCAGTAGGCGGATATAGGATCCGCAATGTCTGAAGTAGAGATCACGATAAGTCTAAATTATCATTGTAGTTGGGAGGCGTATTTTCCCGTATATATTACAGCTGACGTGGTTCAAATATGCCTTACATCCGATCACCCTCCACCATCAACTATCATAGGTGAGCTGCCATTACAATTTCCATCCATACAGCACCCCACGATTGTTCGTTTTAGGGTTAGAAGATGTTATGATTGGGCAAATGTATCGACCATGGCTGGTGTCCCTCTGCACGATTTCGTAGTCTCCTCGAGAACGGACTCCAGTTTATCTGCCTTTACCCGGACCGCGTGAATAGCCCCTTGCTTGCTGCCCGGGCAATTCCTAAATAATCAGGACGTTGCTCAAAGGCGTTGCTTAGCGTTGACTCCATACCGCCTGGATGGACTAGGAGCATTGGCCGCCGAGGTGCATTCCATCTTATCGCGGGGTTTAGTAATGTTGTCACAAGGATGGGAGAGGGTCTTCGACCTCTAATTGTTGAGCACGATCGTGAGAATTGGAATGCGATAGCGCTGGGAAATTGAGTAGACACTACAGTGATACTAAAAGAAAGGTTCCATCTCCAACATTTCTTAGGTAGAATATGTTTGACAATAAACAACAGAGTGATTGTTGCTACACCTGGTTAACAGCTCGCGAGCCTAAACAAAGAAGGCGTCTATATCGGGAGTCATGGGTTCAGGTCAACACCTAATAATAATCCTCGCCCTTAGAGAGGGCTGTCACCGACCCCTTGGACCCGAACGCCGCATGCCTATGCTGCAGATTCGCGGCCTTGACGTACCTTCGAGGAGGAGAGGCAACCCTCTTGTCCGCATGGGCCAACAAAAGCTCCCGCGTGCGAGGAAAACTTAGACAAGACAGGGCACACCGCGCAGGCCAGAAACAAAAAGCCTGAGCGCATGCGACTCATTTACTGCCCGATGAGGACGAACACTTGATTGAACTGGAGGAAAAGCAAAGTCTCCCGTGGAATCGGATCGTGAAGCATTTTCCAGGGAGGACAAAGGGTGCTCCTCAGGTTCGCTATAGTACGAAGCTTAAGGACCGAGGAACTAGAAGTCTCAGGCGAGGTCGGTGTGGAAGGGTTACATGTCCAGCGGCTGCGGCTGCGGCTCCGCAAGAGGCGTGTGGCCTAATCTCTAGGTCTCGAACGCCGAGGAGGAAGGAGTCGAATCAGTCTCACCGACAAGACGATGGATATTAAATAAGTAGTGGCGAGAAATAGGCAAATTGACACCAGTGTCAAATACTTCGGCCTCTGTGACACGAGCCTATTCTTCGCGAAAAGAGTGCATTCTGCAGCGAATACTGAGACTGGAGAGGAGAGGGAAGGAAGAAGTGCTGGAGGGTCTTGGAATACGACGCCCGCAGGAGGTGAGTCTAATATTATAAGGTCATTGCTATTAGTGTCACCATCGACAATACAATGCAGGCGGCTGGGATTTGGAAGAAGGATTCTTTGAGAACGGTCTCCCAGCTGATTTTGTGTGGCCCGGCGACGTGGGTCCCATGCATACGGATTGACTCACCTTTTTAGGAATTGACATTAAGGACTACTGAACCTGGAGGGACGATGCCGGAACTAGCCCTACCAGCTGGTGCTCGGTTTACATGAATGACGGAGAGCCGTATTTCAATGCTGAGGAATGGGGCGACTATTGCTACCATACCTGGGATGGTTCGGATCCAAATTGGAAAACTCTGCTATTTTACTTTTGGCATCAGTGAGCGTGATCGAGTAGCTGCTGTAAAGTGACTCTGGTGGCATAGGTCGACAATGTGACAATGCGCGCTGGACGCTTTTGAAAGCTGAAGGGCAAGTAGGCTAGTTTAACTTTGCCTTGGAATTCGTGACGTGTTTTAATCTTCTCCATTGGTGCGAAGGCTATGCCTAGTTCCTTTGTAAACTTTTATAGGCGATGATCAAGTGTTATTGTTGCAATTTATGCGTAGCTTCTTGCTTACACGGCATAGTCGACATGATGGAAATCAGAGGATATGAGCGCTGTGCAGACTCATTTCAGCCTCCATCCTGAATCAAGTATCGCGAGGCTATGGCTCGAATTCAATCAATTTTCATCCAATCACTTATATCTGGTAACAAACAAAACACCAGCAATTAGCATAAGGGAACCCCGTACGTTCCGTCTCACAAACCCATTTCCTAATCCGAACAGAGTCCAATGGCATGGGTTACTTCAAATAATCGAAAATATCCCTCCTGTTCATCTCGATGACAAACTCCTTCACGCCTGCCTTTTCAACTTCAACAATCTTCCCGCCCTCGATTTCGATTCGGTATTTTCCATCCTCAAGGAGTCGTCAGTCTTAAAATTGACAATGTATCTGAAGATGTATTACCTACCTCGAAGCCTTTGACAGTACCAATAGTGGACTCTCCACTGTCAGTAGAGAATGTAACAGATGTTCCTCTGTGTTCTGGTTATGGAAATGCGCAAAAATACATGACAGGTTGGGGAACATACTCAGCAAAGGGCATTATGGCTAATGGTGTGCCACAAATGGGTAAGTGAGTAAAACTTGGATCGCTGTGGGAGAAAGCCTTGGAATACTACGGGAAAGTTCGACCGAAAATATTGGATATTATCATGTCAGAGTCGCACAGGGGAAAGACTTCCATTATTTAGTGTTCAGTTCCTCCCCCCCAATGTTTCGCTGGTGGCAAGCTGAAAATCGCAAATGGGTGGGCTACTCTGAGGGGTCTCTTTGTGGGGCCACGTCACTTGAGCTTGATGCAGACAAAGAGGATCTAGAGCAATAGGTTCATGAGTGGTAGGAGAGAAAGTTCCAGGTAGATTTGAGAGCTTAAACGGACGGAAAAGTCCAAGCGGATAGAAAGGTCCACGTACTTTTATTGATTTTCGACACCAAAGTATCGCTATATTTGTCAATAGGAATCGAGGTGTCCCTCAGCGAGCGTGATCCATCAGCAAGAGTTGTCCCCTTTATCGCTATGGACTTGAATGACTTTAATCAGAAACTCCAGCATAAGGAGATCGTCAGCCACACACAGAACAGCGGAATTGATAGTGGTGAACTTAGTGATCATTACTTCTTTGCTCGTGCTCCTATTCTGGTGCTTGACACGTCTGTTAAACAATATGGGGTTCAGTTGAACAGTTCTTTTCCCACCCCCTGAGTAGTAGACGACATAATAAGCGATTAGATGTCAATTCAACAGCATATTTTACAGTATCTTAGCTCCAAGCAAGTCGCACTTATTTAATCCCTGCTATAAGCAATCAAGTCTTACCATTAAGTTCATTCCTTAAATTAATCTCTCATCAAGACGGTTTTTCTTTCTCATCTCAGGTCTTAGAATCCTAGTCTGTTGACTTAAACCAGAATCCTTTACCTTTCATACAAAGTTCGTGTTGAATCTCTTCGGTAGGGGAGATATATAGCACGACATCTAGGGAACATGATTTACATGTTTCTTTAACCCTATTGGAGATCTTTCGCTTCGATCGATTTCTGTTATCCCTTATCCCAATTGGGTGACCTGAGAGAGCAGGGCAGCAGGAGAACAAGTATTCCGAAGCGATTAAGATGAATTAATGGACAGAAGAGGTAGTGTGTTACGGGGACCAACGTCAAGCAGCTAGCTGAGGGCGGCCGCGTCAGTCAGAATCCTCGGGCAATGACAGCCAAGGGAACCCCACAAGGAATAGACGCCCACTCCTCCCAAGCTCAGTCGGCAGCCATAAGCACTGATCCGATAAGGGAGTGGCGTCAACAAATCAGTACCCGGGAAGAAGTTCCGGCTCAACCCGAGTATGCTGGAGTGAGAGCCTTAAAAATCGCAGGGCAGGGTAGTGTTGCACGGGAGGCAGGTTAAAATGAATGATGTGTTCGGTTTCTTGCTCAGATGCTGGACTGAGATGCTTGTTACAGTTGTCTAATTAGAACTGCGTGGATAGACCAAATACCACCTCGTCGATCCTCTCGATTACGGTGAAGTTGCTAGGATCCTTTAGAATTGATCCCTGAAGGGGCCTGCCTAGAGGCAACGGCTCTCAACGCTCACTTCGACCTATTTCAACAAGATCCTTCGCAAGCTGAAACGCCATTGCGATATTTGCACGCTCACTGATACCCGTAAGTTGCTTGATGACCCATTGGCGATTTTGCTGACTGATAGCAGGAGATTTACCGACTGTATACAGATTCCAGATCAGCATATACCCACCCGACACGTTGGGTTCTTGGGGTCTATCAGCATCAGGGACTGATACAAGCCCTAGGCCCTGTGGAACGCTGGCCAGTATCTCCGCTCCTCGTCTTAAAATAATCTGCATTGTATACCGGAGCTTTGATTGAAGCTTCAGGTGGCCCTCAGCGGGATAAGCCGGCTCCTCGGTGAGCATCTTGTTTATGAGCCAGCAAATAATCTCGCAAACGATGATTTCAACCATTCGAGAGTTGTTCCAGAGCCTTATTGCCCACGATGTCTTGTATAGGTCATATTGGCCATTACAAGAAATGAAGGTCGCGCTCCCACGGGGTTCCCTGATTGTTATGTACGGTTCTTGCGTAGTAAGGATATCAAGAATATATTGAAAATCACTCTGAATCGCGATCGATTCTTCTAGGAAGTCCGACCAGGACGTGGGTATCAGTAAAGACTTGTCATCATGCTTCTTTGTGACGCCCGCGAGAAGGGTTGCGCACCGCGTGGCGAGCACTCCGAGTAACCAGAATGCATCCGAACGGTCGGTATACTTGGTCGCCTCTTCCTGCAGCTCCCGCAAGTCGTCTGGAAACGGCTGTACGGTCTGAATACAAGCAGCTGACATATCTGCGCGCACCTGGTTGAACATCAGGATGGCAGGCCTACGGGCAAATTGAGATTTGCCGCGGGCAACCACCAACGCTGCAGCTCCTTTGACATGTCGAACCCAAGACTCAAAATTGGAGATGTGCTCGAAAACTCCCAGCGATATCACCGACATCAAGGTGCTGTCTTTGACGGACTCCACCGGGGATGCTAACGCCTGGTTCACAAGGCGGATCGCCTCTGAGTATTTGGCGCGCGCACGAAGGACCAGCTCGGGCTTGTGAGAGGCCAACGCGACGAGGCCCACGGCCGCCATACTGGCAACGAGGGCCGGGTGCTCTGCATCGGCAGAATAGACCGTCGGGATATAGTTCAGATATCCGCGTGAAGGGGAAAGACCACCCGCGACAAAGTCCCGGAGGAAATAATTGACACCTATCTCCTCGAGACTGGGATTCAAACCTCGGGTAGGTGGAATTAACGGAATAGCCTTAGTCGAGAGCCCATTCGTTTCTCGTGTCTTACTGGACCGTTTGATGGTGTGGTTTGTCTGGTCACGGAAGATTAAATCCCATTCATCGCGGTATCCAAGGCAAATTTCGCGCGTGCGAATGCATTGACCACACTGGGGAACCTCCTTGTCGCACTGGGTCACCGTGTTAGTGCTAGTGTTATTAGAATGGTAAAGGAAGACCCACGCGTCGTTTCACAACTCGGCAGTTCTCGCAACTTCTGGATGTTCTTGCGCGAGGTGCCTTGAGATTTGGCATATTGAAGCATCCGTCGACAAGGCGATCAATGATGATGATGAGACTACGAAGAGGAAAGGGAGGCTGGTGTTTGAAGACTGTTGCTCATCGACAGTGTTGACGTGAGCTGAAGTCAGTTGGATTAACCTCGGAAACAAGCTACACAAATCACCATACACGCTCTTGGCGGCCCGGGAGTGACCGTGGGCCCAAATGACACCCAACGGCCCCCACCTGTTACGCTCCAAAGCTGCGCCATGCTGACCAGCAAGAGAAGATCTGCACCTCTTTACCTAGATGGGCATCCTACGTGACTGCTTGGCCACAGCCACTTAGGCTGGAAATTGAGTACTATGAGTGGCTACTGATCCCCGACTGCTACTCATGCACGCTAGTCTTCTTTGGGTATCTCAGATGCTGACCAGTCAACACGCGAATTTGGAGATGCCAACAATATCGCAAAGCTGAGTTGTGGTGAAAATCAGCCTTGGTGACCCTATGGAGGCAAAATAAGCTCAATTCATGATCCTTGACTCCCCATTCAAAGGTACCTCCACCCCAGAGCAACCCACAAATTCAATCGCCGATCCAGATAATGTGAGAATTAAGGGAAAATGCTAGTCGCGTTGGTATTTGTCTAGGGAAGGTCCCCGCCTATACAACGACCACAGGCCTTTATCCCTTTCTTAGTATCTTCCTTCACAATAATAAGTCCGAAAGCTGGTTTACTCGACCTGTATTGATAACCATACAATTTTTATGCTATTGTTGAAGAAACCTCGGAAGGTTTTGTGTAAAGTAGAGTTCGGAAACCATCATTTTAATGGCCATGATGCATGCAATTCCATCCAGTCAATGCCAGATGCTGAAACAACGAGAGTCTAATAGCCAGGAGGACAACTTGACCACGGCACAAAAGCACATTACAGTCTAGTTGTAACAGCTGTAGGAACTACGTAGTTTTCACAGTTAGCCGTATTCCCAGCAATGGTCCCTGGACTAAATCCAGGGAAATAAAGAGAACAACTTACTCCGAAACACCCTGCCAGCCGACACATTTCCAGCAATCAAAGAAATGATCTGGATCATACTTTTTCTTGATTCGAAGCAATTCCGGATAATTTGATCCAAAGAACGTCTCCTGCCACTCTGGTTCCAAGTAATGGCCTTCATTCAGGTAGCAGCCCCCACCTGGGGTAAGCTCCTTCATGGGCTCGACCGTATCCAGCCATGTTTCCAAAAGTTCTGCCTCGGTTAAGTTGCTGAGCTGCTCCGTCCATCCACCGGTCATGAGAACATGCCAAAGAGCCGAGCGCCAGGCGGGATTAACACTTGTCGCATCCCCGTTTCGGTGGTTCACCGGGGTGGTCATGATGACCTGGGAGACGGAAGTTTCGGGAAGTAGCTTATTGCTAAGGCGAATGCCGTCGAGGACGGCCTGGACGAGTTCGGTTACGGTGTGGCGGGTTTCGAATAAGGATTCTGGCATTAGCCGACCTGCGACGACTCCGAAGATGCCGCCTGGGGTTAGTCTGGCAGCAATCTTGTTGGTGACCTGGAGGAACTCGGTGTATTTGGGGTAGGTGGTGTAGGTGCTCTCGCCGACTCGGATACTGGGGTTGTTCGTCACGAAGGAGGCAAATTCACTGGTGAGAGATTTCAGGGCTGTTTCGTTGTTGGACGGCAAGACGAGGTAAATCTCGGCTTTAGTCGGCCCGTAGTACGCATGTCCTGAAATGTTGTGGTGGGACCAGACCGGTTGGTTCGTCGCGTGCTGGGTAAGAAGTTGTTCCAGGGCCGGGTAATTGGCCGTCTCATTGCCACGGAGCGTGAAGTTGGCCTCGAGCTGATACACATTGATATTAACGGCTGGGTGGAGTTGGAACCGGTAGCTTGTGAGAATTGCGAAGGTGCCTCCGCCTCCACCTCGCATGGCCCAAAAGAGCTCGGGTTCATTGCATTGGTTGATGGTGCGGAATTGGCCATCTGCTGTCACAACGTCGAACTCGACCGCATTATCCACCATTAGACCGTACGAAGGACCAAAAATACCGTGACCACCTCCTTGACCAAACCCGCCCGCCAGGCCCACCGATCCTTCATTTCCGCCAGTCACATCCATGTTGAACTCCTGGAAATAGGTGTAGACATCCGACGCTTGAGCACCAGCTCCTATCTCCCCGATATGTTGACCGTTCGAAAACGGACAGTTCGATGCAACAAAATCCGCATGATACTTCATCGTGTTCATGCGGTGAGTCCAGATCGCAAGAGTGTTGGGACTGGTCGAGCGGCCAAAGTAGTCATGTCCAGTGTTCTTAACGCTGACTCTGAGATGATGCTTTCGGGCAAACTTGACAGCGGCGACCACATGTTGAGGTTCAGAAGCATCGACATACAATGACGACAACCGGCCGAGGTGGCAGTCGTCTGAGAGGGATTTGAACGGTCTGACCGCATTCAGTGCGCATGTTTCGGTATGGCAAACTTCCCAGTTGAGGGATGTCGCTGCGCCGTATACATCGGTTCGTACCTGGTTTGTTGTGTAGTTGTCTGCGGCGACCACACAAGCTGAAGGGTCGTAGTATGGAGAACTATAATAGCAGGTTGCGGCGTAGGGCATTGTGCGGTGCAATCTGCCAGACAGACTGCTATTAAAGCTCGCCCATTCTTTCGCCGACGGCCAAGAAGATTGTCCAGTGTGACTGTTGTACTCCGAAGGTGTCGCTGATGTGGTGAAGATTAGGCTCAATAGGGCCACCAATACGGGTGCGGCATTCGCTAGACAACAAGATATGTGCACCATCGCTCGGGGTTTGACCGTTACAATTAGAAGTATGTAGGAAAGGAAGAAATTGCTGCCGCGTCATGAAGAGCTCGCTGTCGGCTGTCACCCATCATTTATAGCCACTCAGGTGATGTATTGGACGACAAAGCAGAGATACCTAACATCTCCCAAAGTGGTTTGCCCGTCGACATGTCCCCTTTCATTGGCCGAGCATCCTACATGCCCTAAAAGCACTAGCGCTGGCGCCGGAGCGCTCCATGCGGTTAGTAAATGAGTTTGAATCTCACTGTGGCTGTGGGGTATATGGCAACATCGCACCTACCCGAAGAGAACTAGCCCAGGCTTTTACTTCAGTTACTTTGGCTCTCGGGAGATGAAATCGGAAGTCCGCCTTGAAGTTCGCCTTGAACGCCCAACTGGCCCCCTATCGGGCCCCACCTGGGCAGTTACACCTATGCAATGGACGAGGAGGTGTTGGAGGAGTTCCCGACGGGCTTCTCTCGTAATTTCAGCTCCTGAATGACGGCACACGCGCTAATCCTGTTGCGGTAAACTAGATGCTGGTCCACTCACCATCTCAATACCAGTAGGGCTGTAATCTCCATGACCTCGATATCGACTTTACCATGTTCTAATCCCAAGGACGTATAAGGGAGCAGCTGTTCCCTTGTTCGATGGAGACATCAAACAGTGTTGTCTCCAGTCTAACATACTTGTCCATATACCTATTGTTCTTCTTCTTCTACTACTACTACTACTACTATAACTTCTACTATTTCTACCACTACAGCACCGCCATGGGAAAGATCACCTACCGCGACGGCATTGCAATCCTCCAGCTCATCATATTCCCCATCATCCTCGTTGCTGCCATTTTCATCTGGAAGCGATCAGGCTGGAGGGTTGGCAGCAAGATCTGGCGATATCCTGTCACACTCTCGCTCATTCGAATTGCTGGCAGTATTTCTTCGTTGCTCTCGATCAATAACGACTCGTACAACATCAGAGTGGCTGAGGCAGTATGTCAGTTGATCGGTCTAGCCCCTTTGCTGCTAACCTTTATCGGACTGCTGCGTCAAATGTAAGCTGGCGACCGCGGAAGTTCTCCCTCCCACCAAAACGCAGACTAACAGTTGTGCTCTCAGTGATGTGGAGGAAAAAATGCCGCCCAGGCCGATGAAACTAGTGACGTTAATCACCTTCATTGGCCTTATTCTTGGTATCGCAGGTGTCAGTTCCGGTGGTTATCCACCCGGCAAACTCGCCAAGGCCGCCATGGGCATCTTCCTCGCCGTCTTCGTGCTTTTCCTCGTACTGAGTGTCTGGTTATTCTTGGAACTCAGCGGTTCATTGCGACGATTCCAGAAGAAGCTCTTTATCGCCATTGTCCTGTCTACCCCCTTCTTGGTGGCCCGGCTGATCTACTCGGCCCTCGGCGATTACACTTCTCTGGATACTTTCTCTCTGGATGGAAATCCAACCGTCTATCTATGCATGGCGGTGCTGGAAGAAATCATTGCCTTGGCAGTCACCATGGTCTTGGGTATATTGGCTGTGTTGGAGCCGGACTTTGTCAAAATCACTCCTCAATCCCGGGAGGACCCGGAACAGAAGCCCGAGGGGGTGAATTTCTAATTTCAGGGGAATGCGGTGTCGCTCGATAATATAAATCCTAAATCCGCGCGGTGTTGGAGGACGGCGAAAACATCCCAAATCGCAGAGTGTGGTCATTAAATCTGAACTTATTGCTCAGATACAATGTAGCAAGCTTGAAATTCCAGCAAAGCTTAAGCCATCAGCTCATCGATATTGCTGTAGGTTCCATGCGATGCAGAAAAAGCGCACTGATAGGAGACAAGTGATGTAAACTGTATATAGTTTTAGAAGGACGAATATCATCTAGCGAAATATCTACTCAAAGGCTGAGCAGAAAGGAATTCCAAAATTACACTAGGCGACTTTTGGTTTTTATTCAGGATTCGTCCCCAATCTTGACTATTTTATGTTTCCCGTGGGGACTTGCTACAGTCAGTGCATTTTCTCGATCCAAGTCAATTAAAAGCGTCGTGCTCTTAACAGCACAGGGAAATCGTACTCTATATAACTTTCCGATCAGAGTGCTCTGCTGGAGTCTTTGACACGGCAACTGCATAGCCTGCAGTGTGCTGCCAGGTAGCCAAGAGGCTTGAAGGTGCACATGTGCGCGAATTCGAAGACACCAAACGGCACTCCGTACATGAGGTTAGACATGGCTGTGCCTGTATTACTGTGCGGTGAGGTCATCTAGCTCCGGCGATGTTAACTATTCGGGCTATGGTTAATGATCCCACGTCTATATAGCTGAGCTGACGAGCGAGTTTATAGACTGGGACCAAATAAATAGACCGTACTGCCTATTTGATTGGCCGTACATCTTAATTGCCTCATACGGAAATGATTGGCTGGTGGAGGTCAATGTCTAAATTTATTTGACGGTTGTATCGGATCTTCTTTTAGGCTTTTTAGCCCCAAGCTACTACTATCTACTCCCGGGGGCGAACAACTCGATTGCCTGATATGGGCTAGCGAAAGAAGGCTTAGCAGGGATTCACCAGCGGCCAACATACTAAATGAACCCACCTCCTATAAATTATGGCTTTGGTTTGTGAGAGCTGAGGAATTTGCGCATAGCTCTCCAAACGTTTAGTTTCGTCTTGGGCCAGAATACTATACTTAACAGGAGATCTCCATTTCATACGACTCACCTCTCCAAAGAGCACCCTTTTTAATCACGCCATTATAAGAAGACAAGAGCCTCCCAATCTCATGTTCTTTTTAGAGATGCTCTCCCCATTGGTAGTTCTTCCAGTCATTTTGACTCTCGCCGATGCCCGTTCTGTTCTGAACCGCTCGGCCTTTACCCCAATCCAATGGTCGAATTGCACATTTCCCGCGCCAGGGTTCGACTGTGGAGTTCTTAAGGTACCAATTGACTGGGATGACCCTTACGGCGAGAAGGTCCAACTTGGAATGCTACGCCACAAAGCATCCAACCCGGCGCAAAGAATTGGCAGTCTATTATTCAATCCCGGCGGACCAGGTGATAATGCGACTCAATTTGTGATAGCCGGCAGCAAACTATTTGGCCAAGACATTGCCAATCGGTTTGACATCGTTGGTCTCGATCCTCGAGGTGTCGGCCTTAGTTCTCCTATCCGATGTGATCCGGAAATCTACAACCAGCGGGTTGCTTACTGGCCGTCAAACCAGACTGAGCTTGATGCATTGGTCCAAAAATTTCAGAGACTTGGAGAGAGTTGTCTTAATATGACTGGATCATTGGTAAAGCACATGGATTCTGTCAGCGTCGCCAAAGATATGGAAGCGATCCGCCAGGGGCTAGGCGACGAAAAGCTGAACTATATTGGCCTATCATACGGAACGTTGATAGGACAAACTTACGCGGAACTCTTCCCTCAGAATATCCGGACAATGGTTTTTGATGGCAACATGGATCACAGCACCGATCCTATCTCGTACCTTACGGTCAAGTCATTAACCTATGAGAGTGAACTGGTCCGGTTTGCTGAGTGGTGTAGTCAAAGCACGACTTGTCCATTGAACGGAACCTCAGACTACGTTCTGCGAGTATTTGATGATCTGGTTGAACAAGGAAACAAGGAGCCTATCCCTGCACCTTCATGCAAGGCCAGCAGATGTCGCGAAAGCGTGACTGGCTCTGAAATCCAGTATAATATGAACTCTCAACTATTTGTCAAATCTGGTCTATTTGGAACATGGGCGAAACTTGGTCAGCATCTCCTTGAAGCCAAAGAGGGGGATGCTTCGGGACTCTCCACCTCACTTGCCACGAGCTCAGAATCGGATACTTTCCAGGATACTGTGATCAGTTGTTCTGACTGGTACCACCCCCGAGCTTCTCTTGTAGATCTCAAGTACAAAAACAATCTCGCCAGTGCCATGTGGCCGCATGTCGGCACTGGCAACTACGACCTAAACCGTTGCATTGGATGGCCTTTCCCGCAGGTCAGCAGAGAACACCGAGCTATGATTCATGGGACGCCTCGCATTCTCCTGGTCAACTCACAATATGATCCATCATGCTCATATGTCTGGGCAAACGGGCTGAAGGAGCAGATCAGCAACAGCACACTTCTCACACGAAAGGGTGACGGCCACACATCATACATGTTGTTCGGTGAGACATGGAAGGTTGTGAACGCCTACATAGTCAACTTGACAATCCCCGCCGACAATACTGTTGTCAATAGCTAATCGCTTTTGGACATAGCGGTTTTATTCAGAATAGATATTGTATCTGCTAGGAATTTCACCTAGCTAAGCTTAGTAGAACGGTTTGAGACCACCTTTGAGTCTGCGCGGTTTCAATGATATCTCCAAACTACTTCACTTTATGCCGTAAAGTACCTTAGTCGCAATCCTTTTATATGTTTCGAGTTTCCGACTGTTTATTGAATTTAGCGAATCTTTTCAAAGATGATGCAGAGCGCAAGTACTCAGCCCCTACAGTTGATACGCTCGTTGAAGGTATCAACCCCATTCTTAGTTACCTGCACTGTATAAAGAAGGGCAACTCTCCAAACATGCCACAGCTTGTCATCCGTCGGTAGAATAATTCCTACTCCTTCCCCTAACAGATAGATTCCAAAGCCCTGTAAGGTCCTGGTCCTAACACCACATATCCAGGTTGAACAAAATCTTCATCCCCATCACATTCTAGACTCTAGTTCAGGTTATGACTTGCCTTGGGGAATCGTCTTGTCTGCCTCGCCCCTGGAGTTCGAGGGACCGATGGTAACCTTGCAGAGAATTAACCAGTAATTATCTAGGTGGATAAGGAAGTCTTAAAAAATACGTCTATCCTGGGAGTAATAGTGAAAGCCTCTTAGCGAGTAATAATTTAGTATCTCTATGTAGTGCCCTTCAATATTCTCACGGCATCCTTAGACATAATATAACTAAGACCAGACCAGATGGTTATGATGGCAACAAAATATCTACGGAATAAGTTAGCACACGCGGGGGACGAAGGGAAGCCCATCCGCAGTTTCGGGGCTCAAGAACATTCAGCTGCAGAATAGTGGCTTCACAGAGGTTAGGCCTTTGGGGGTGAAGAGGGTGAAGGTAAAGCAGCGGGGGCGATAGACCCAACAAATCAAAACTTCATTCAATAATGAAGAATCACTGAGATATATTTAACAATCCCCCCCGCCTTCCCTCTCTGTATAGACACTTCTGCAATACAGACACACTATACCTCTACAAGGGAGCACGGATGGGCCCCTACCCGACGCTACAGTCTAAGACCGCAGCGACAGGTGACCCGTTATGGCCAAGCTATACTTTTCTTGCCCCTCCTGCCTGCGTGAGGCTACTAATAAAACAAACTATTTGCAAATAATATTTGCCGCTGTGGGAGTTTGTGGGATGATGTCAACATGGCGTATCAGTCCAAAGATTACAAATTTAAAATGTTAACCTAATTGCCATCAGATCCACTGTTTCCACAAACACCCTCTCAGCACCCTATATTAAATGAAATGTATTTCTCTCCAACAGTTTCACCCTCTCCCCTCTCACTCTCTGTAGCTATAGTTACTCTATACTGCGTTATTATATGAACCCATCTCAATTTTTGCCTTCAAAGGATTTCTAAACATAACAGGAGCTAAAAATCAGAGGAAGAAAATAGGAAAGGCGAAGGGCCCCAATATACCACCATGGAGTCCTCCAGGACATCATCGATATTGAAAAAATTCCGTGCTAAGCTCGAACTAGACATCTACAAAGTGCTCCTAATGCTTAAGTATGTTTTCCGAAGAGCCAATGGCCACAGCAGAAGCAGTCTTCAATGGGGAACCAAAGCAGGCTTTTAGAAAGGCTTCAACCGTAGTGTTCGCTTCTGTACGACTGCTGCTGAGACCTTTGCGCTCTTCATTGCCTGTAATTAGACTCAAAACTGACATGTATCTCAAAAGGGGCGGTATTGCGCCGACCGTCGGGCTCGCGATGTATGTCCTCTACTCCACTCAGTGGAAGTCTCCTTACACCCTTTAGATATCAGAGCGAGAGTGTTGCGAGACACTTCTCTACTATCGGATATCTTATCCCAATAATGTCCATTCTCACTTTGCCGGTGGCACCAAGAGCTCGATTCTTCCAGAATCTTGTAGTGACAATGGTACTGACTCACTCTAAGCCTAGAAGTGACTTTATTAAGGCTAATCTCGTGTGCTGGACAGCTTTTAACTTGTTTCGCAATTGCAATCTCTTATTTATCAATGTGGTGTGCTATCCAGGCTCGAGCGAATACAACTCATATTCAGGAGGGAAAGAGTGGTGGCCCTGTCGCTGGTGCTGCTACAAGTCCGTTCAATGCCGCTGCCAGCGTTAATATGGCGGTGTGGTTATTCTTTGAAGTGTGGCTTGCTAACACGTCTGCTTGCCCGTCCACGGCGTTCTCTCTGGCTGGCTGATTGATGGAGCAGGTTCCGCGCATTCCGACCTCAGTACTTCGTCCCGTCTATAGTATTTTCTATCTTCATCCAAGTGACAGGAACTTATGGAACTCAGTTTGCTACGATGGGTGAAGCTTCGTCTTTAGGTGGGAGTATACTTCTGCGATTGTGGTCTTTACTGACTGTATGCGGGAGTCTCCAGTAAAACGCTTGACCGAAGCATTCTTTACCGGCTTTGGATTATCAGCCGTCGTCAATGTGTTTATACTTCCATACACATCCCGAACTTTGGTCACTGTACACTTGAAAAATAATTTCCATGCGATACAGAGAACACTTAATGCCCAACGTCAATTTGTGCGGTCCCTACCCTCCCATGACATCTTTTCTCAAAGGACAGAAGGGCACATCGATCCCAACTATCAGCACGAGACAGAGTTGTGGCCGGAAGCGGATGCACTGAAGAATGCAGCCATGGATGTTGCTAAAGAGTTTGGAGCTATCAAATCGGAACTCCGCTTTGCAAAACGTGAAGCTGGTTGGGCATATCTGGGGCCGAAGGAACTGGTAGAGCTAACGCGTTTCCTGAAGAGCATACTGGTCTCAGTAGTGGGGATGGAATCCCTCGTTGAAGTCGCAACCCGGCTGGAGAAGCGAGGGCTTCGGGAGTTTTTTAGAAGGCCCCGTATTTCTCATCCATTGACTGAGTCAGAAAAGAATGCTCTCGAGGTGGAAAGACAGCAATGGTATTGGATATTTGAACAGACTCGCGGACCCACAGAACAGCTTTTGCACGCGATGGACGAAGGTCTTGACCATGCAGTGTACTCCTTTCGCTTGGGGAAGTCACCTACGGCACTTGCGTCTGACCTTGAAGCCAACGGAAATAACGCGGCGAGACATCTAGAGGAAATGATTGGACACTTCCTTAGGCAGCGACAAGGGCCGTTGAAGACCTGGTTAGCTTGGAAAGGCGTGGATCAGCCGTTTCAAAGCGACTCGTTGAGGAGCAGCGTGAAGCCCACAGATCCTCAGCTGCATGAAGAGCATCAACTTCAGCTATACATTTTGCTCCAGGTAAGTATTCCTAAACATAGGGTGCGACTAGCTAACTTGTTTGAAGTCGCATTATTTGTTCATTGAATCCGCGAGAAGCATATTATATCTGGTCCAATATGCCAATGCCAAAATAAGCGATGGCACCATGAAAAAAAAAAGGTTCATCATGCCAGCTTGGAAGCAAATGAAGAAATGGTTCTGGGCTTCATTCTCCAGGGAAGATGGGGAGCTGGATTACCAAAATTACTGCAAAAGATCTGGTACTGTCAGGGTATACCTTGATGACGTCCTGCAGACGGGCATGGATGCAGAACACCTTCCACCCGCAAACACGTGGGAGAAGTTTAATGTCAAACTTCGGACCTTCGCTCACCTATTTGGCTCTCCGGAGTCCTTTTTTGGTTTCAGAGTGGCCATAGCCACCATGACTGTGGCCGTTTTTGCCTTTCTTAGAAACACGCAGCAATTCTACATCCAACAACGTCTCATCTGGGGTTCAATCATGGTTGCAATTAGCATGACGGAAACAGCTGGTTCGGGTATATACGGACAATTTCAGCGATTGTTCGGAACGGCAATTGGAATGGTGTTATCATACGTTGACTGGTATATAGTTGACGCACACCCAGCAGGTGTTATTGTGTTTGTCGGCATCACTATAGTCTTGACCCACTATCTTTATATAAAATTCCCAACGGATCCGGTAGTGCCAACGATAACCATGGCCACCGTCATGTTGATCGTGGGCTATGCGCTTCAGGTTAAGAAGGTTGGCATAGCAGTCTCTGAAACAAGCGGCCAGAAATATCACGCCCTCTACGTGCTTTCGCCCTACCGGTTAGCTACCGTCGTTGTCGGCGTCGGTGTTGCCTTTTTCTTCACGAACTTCCCTCACATGGTTAGCGTGAGAATGTGCCTCCGAAAAGATCTCAGTTCCTTTCTGTACCTCCTAGCATATTACTCTACCTCCACATTCAAAACGGCCTCCTCACGGTTCAAAAATTTGGCCGGTAACCGCAGGGAGAAGGAGAGCCTAAGGAGGGATCTTGAGAAAGCTCGTGTTGGTGTGCTTGCGAGAGATATCATTCTCCTCCAAGGCATGAAGTTTCACACTGTTTTCGCTGCCTGGGAACCTACATTTGGAGGAAAATTCCCCCAAGACACATACGACAGACTGGTTAAATACGCACAGAAGTAAGTTATCATACATCCATACCTTGGGTCTGCAATGACTGATACGGCCTAGTATACTCTACTGTTCGGCACTAATGGTATCCATCACTGATTCATTTCAAGACCTGATCGCTAGTGTCGCCGCCGACCCGGGATACTCCGAACTATGGTCTGGAAACTTCGAACAATTAGTTATTGCCCTGGAGTCAACATCCCACGAAATATCATCGCTACTGATGGCTCTTTCAAGTGCCATCCGAAGCAAGACGCCCCTTCCTTTCTGTTCCAAAGCCCCTAAAATACGTCTCCTCAGCGAGATTATAGCCGATCCCGAGGGTAGACTGCTTAGTACACAACATGTTTGTGAGCCGCCCTACTCAGCATTTGCGGCATTGGAAGTGATCATGGCGCTCATAACGGATGATGCTTCTCAACTGCTGTCGGAGACAAAGAACCTTGTTGGGGAGTTAGACATCCTCAGTGATATTGTCAGGAACAAACACTCGCCCTCTAGCGTGCGTTCTATTATGGCAGAGGAGACAACCTAGCTAGAGTTGCATAACTGAATCGCTAAAATCGAATCCAACCCTCACCGAACTCCCAGCGGTTCGGTTCGGTTCCTAGATTGAGAAATCGCACCAGGTTCAGGGCGGGTCAGGGTCGGATCCAGGGGGTCAGCGGTTAAACCACTAGAAACCATTTTGCTTAGTAATCACTAATTTCTAGGATTTCTCTAGAAATATTAATACCAACTAGATAGGTTAGTATCCAATCTATCTAAATATGAAGTATCAATTCAAAATATCTAGTGGTTGGTGAGATATAAGGGAATAAGCATTTCTGTTATAGGTTGGTATGAAAGTAGTGGTGGTTTACATATTCAAATAACTAATCTACGTCCCTCAGGGCACTAACTACATACTCTACTAGAATCAAATTAGTCAGACTCCAAGTAATTATCTGTCATCTTTAAATATAGAATATTTTTTCCTTAAAACTAAAAAAGTATACAGTATACTATTAGGCAGGCAACTAAGAAATTAGTCTCACCTAGTTTTTTCTGCATCTACACCATCATATATTTTCTCCTTCTCTCACTCTCAGTCCTCTATAAGTATCACACCTATATCAAAAACTACAATTCTATCCTTATCTTTGACCCCTAGATCGCGGAGTGACAGTTAGGAGTAGCTTAGCTATATTTTTATAGAAGGATATAGCGTCTACTACTACTTAACTATTCACATTAAGTTCATTAACTTTAACTGTCTTTCCCTTATTCATAAAGAATCCTTTACCTTTATAGTGCCAAGTATACAAACTAGCTAAATCCCAAACATTTAGCCTCTCTTAACTAAGTCCATCCGGACTTACTCGTGATTTAGATAATATCAGAGAGGGAAGGCCTTAAGGCTCTTAATTAGTTTTAACCCCTGGAACTTTACCCCACACAGAAATATTCCAGCCTTACTAAACTTAACTCCATTATAATTAATAAATTAGCACTTAAGATTCTACTACATCTCATTTATTTATGTCATATCTTCCCTCACATCAATTAAAGACAGGGAAACCGTAGTGAAGCTGGACGCAAACGCGGCGGCCGTACTCCGCCAGGTATCACCGGAAGAACTCTGCAAACGGGTGAATGACGCGTTAGGATCTCGGATAAATCTGCTTGGGAAAGCCCATCAAGTCATAGCCGCAAAGCAGCTGAAAAGCGGGGACGTAGTACTTCGTACAGCAACCACGGCAGAGGCAGACACCCTGAAGGACACCGAAGAAGAATGGGTCAAAGTCCTCGGAACATCCGCGAGGGTGGTCAGAACCACATATGGGGTGATCAGAGACGTTTGACAACGAAAGATCGGTGTGTTTGGAGCTGCCCAACTCATATAATTTCCACATTATAACACATCAACGCTGCAGGCTATGTGTTCGCTGAACAATATCACCACAATCTGTCTGGGGTTCCGGCCATCGGTCCTGGTAAACACAAGTGTCCAAGGGGTAGCGAGATTGAACCACGCGAACTAGGCGATTAAGAACGCTGAACTCCATCTTTAGCTTTATGCTGTAAACAACTGTCTTATAAGTTGTCTGAATTTCAAAGTTATTGGTGTATTCTGTTGCAAGCAGAGAGGCATCCAAGAGAACCACAAGGGCGTTAACAATAAAAAGATGGACCATGGTGCCTTGAGAATGGAGGCGAACGATACCGATTATAGGCCTCAGCATCCTGGTTGCCTCCCACATATAGAGGGAGCTGATGATGATTTCCTGCGCGGAGAATCCAGCAAGCTGGATTCTCTCGTAGATATTGAAGGGATCGACAAAACTCTCCACATTCGCATTGCTGCCAAGAAATAGAATGGTGACCGGAACGTGTAGGATGAAGAAATTGGTGATGATCATATATAGCACCCATCGAATATTTTTCGCATCACTTGTCACAAGGTGAAGGCGCGAATATAAGACAACTGACTGTCCAGTCACCATAGCATACCAACCGATTACGGTAACAACACACATGGGGAAATTTGGTGCTAGCGCGAAGAACCGCAAGAACACGGCAATTGCGTGAACCAAGATACCCCAGTTCGCTATCAGCATGCTCCAAAAATAAAGACCACGATATCTTTTGAATGTAAAAAAGATTTGAATTGTGATCTCTAGCACGTTATAGCATGAGATGGCGAAAAACGATGCAATAAGCATCGCAAGTGCTCTGGAGACATTGATAGCGCCTGTTTCCCCTGCCATAATATATGACTTCGCTCGGTTGTTTGCGTTGAGTCTGACTGCCAACAACAGGCGCACCTTGACCCCTCGCTAGCCTTCAAAGGTTCTACCCTCTTCTTTACATCGGGATTATGAGAATCAGTGTGAAACAAATGTGCCGCGGAGAAGTCAACAGATCCTGGTTGATGTAATATGTCATCAGAAGCAAGTTCATGGCAGAGTAAGTTAAACCAGACTTTACTCTAACCAAATACCAAAAAAGCGGATGTTGCACCACTGCGAATAAACGAAGAATAAGGTTTGACAATACCTCACCTTCCCTCTGATACCCTCATATTCTAGCTCAGGTTTGCCCCTTACAACGGAGACCACATGACTTTGACTTTGGTCAGTCCCCCACCACCTCCTCATCTCATCCATGGAAAATATCATTGACACCACAAGGCGCTCGTGTCACTCGCTCGATTGAAGACTTCAGGCTTGCGGTTCTAAGAACTTAGTGCAACTTAAGCGATTCCATATCACTAGTACAGTCTTATAAGATTCGTTCATTTCTAACCTCAGGAGGAATGGCCGTATCTTGTCGGGTTAGTTGTTAGGCAATACCTACTAGGATAGAGCGCCATGATAGCAGGCAAGACACACATGCTGCCCAGAAAGCTTGAAGACCAGCTAAACGAAGTGGAAAAAAGAAAAGAAATTAACCACGACTGCGTTGAAGTCCCCTATCCAGTTTCAATAGCTCTTAACAGCCATTACTACGCACATTGTAGGCTACATACAGACAGGCTAATCGTGAAGAACATCTTCTGCAATGAAAAATAAAAATTGGGCGAGGATTAAAGAATATTGAGTACATTATATGAATCAAGCGTCCATATTCCGCCCCGTCGTCATGCCTGCTTCATGACAATAAAATACAGGAAGAATGCTGAGACACTGCTCACTCATCATTATGTGCCTTGTCCTTCCAGGTATGAAAACCTGCGACATCTCATTAAGAAATATTATTGTTATTTGCAAAATTGGCTGGCTCCGATATACTCAATGCTTGTGGGCTACTGTGGTTTGCTACCGAATCCGGTCATGTAGAGGTCGACACGACCAGAGCTATAACCCACCTGCTCAAGATGCCCAAGCGGTCACGGAGGTGTACCTGTTCTTAAGAATCTATCGCCTCAAAACCCAAGAAACCTTTATCAAATCCTTAAGAATTCATAGTTCCAAGCTATCTACCAAGTGTGTAGACTTGTGTGCTTCGACAATGTTCTCAACGCTTAAGACCTCAAAAGTGACAGAGACCTTGCGAGGCTGCAGTATTGAGCTGTCGCCCTCGTTGTTGATTATCTGCAGTATTATAGACATATAGTCCTGCATGATTAGAGCATACTCTTGCTGTTGGCTATTCATAGCGGTGCCCGCCAGTAGCCCCAAAGACAGGCGCATACTGTTCGCGAGATTTCGGAGCTCGTGGCTCATATTGGCCTGGAACTTGCTCTTCATTTTATTCATGAAGTGCTGCGATCATATTTGCTTCGGTTGTTTTTCGTTCTGTGTCGTCCCGCACCAGCTTCACGAAACCCACGTGCTGACCAAACTGATAAATTGGCCCATAGCGCGAGCCGTCAGAGCGGCAATACCAAGCTTCTCCTTCCAACTTTCCGTCACGCATACATGCAGCAAGCAGCTCGTCTGCTTTGCCAGCATGCCGATCGTCGCCGCCGTAGAAGATCGAGATATGTTCGCCAACAATCTCTGAGGGCGAACATCTGTTAATAGCTGACGCTCCTGAATTCGATATTGCAATGCTACCGTGCGCACCCAGCATGAGGATAGAGTAGTCCTTTACTGCGTCGATCAAAGCCTTGTAGGGCTTCTCGAAGTGCACGTCTGGTGAAGATCGAGGGGGCCTTCAGCGAGATTGTATAATTCAAGCGTGACATTAACCAAACAAGGTCCTTGGAATACTGGCGTTATCTGAAGTGAAAATTCACTCCGGGTCTCGGTAACAGAAACATTCTCAATGAACTGAACGGTTCTAGTGGCAACCGCCGACTCCAGTGCATTCCTGATGGAAGCAATATCTGGAGCAGGGACAGCCACATAGGGAATCTCATATATAGATGTACCGAGTAGAGAGGCTCTAGATCGCCTTATCAAAGAAAGATGGCTGTTCGAGACTTCAATCTCACGCACCGATGCATCTAGGACTATCATGGGCACTGGCGTATGGCGAAATATCAAGCCTAAGGAACCATGGGAAGCCTGCACATCGCTTTGCCTTTTTGTGCGTGGAATAGCCTGGCAATGGGGTCAGTCCTGCGTTTGCCAGTGGATAGACAAGCTATCCTCGTCAGGCGGTCCTGCGGTCAGACATAAAGCAATACAAACCCAACGAAAGGACAAAACGGAAATCGGAATAAAATATGTGAAGAGGTTTGTCAGAATTTTGAGGTTGCTTAACCTCCGGGGAAACCGTGTTGGCCTTCCACGACTTTTGCAGCAATAGGGGTCTCTTCTACTTTCACAGTTTTTCTTTTAATATCTTGCCTTTTTCTGCTGTGATAGGCTCTGTAGCCGTCTGCTTCTCTTTATTGGCGTGCCAGGTGTGTCTCTCGTTTTGCTTCTGAAGCTGCGTAGCAGCTTGGTTTACGACATTCTCTTCTGTCTGGTGTCTCTTTTCGTCTGCCTCCTGCGTCTGCACGCGGTTGATATACGCCGTTATCCTCCCTAGCTTCTTTAGTAAGCGTTATTTCTTCAACACCCTGCTGTTAGCGTATCTTGTCCTCCTCTTTGGCAGACTCAGCAGCTTGTTCCGTCTCTGCTTGAAGTCTCGCGCTGTTGAACCTTTAGGACTGTAAAAAATGGCATTACTATTTCTGGGACATGAAGTTGAAGCTGTAAAGGCCTTTACAGCTTTTTTTGACAGAACTAATTTCCATTGAAAGTTGAAATTATTGATACAGCTTTTTGCGCCATTATCTCAAACGTTAAACTTGCTCAAAAAGCTTCTTCTCAATGCGATACCAGTCTCCTGCCTTCCAAGGCACTTTGTGTTGAGTCACTAGGCGGGAATTGTTAATGGGCACGGAAAGCTGGCAGAACATCACCATATTTTGTGATTTTTTTTTACGACTAGGCAGTCTCCCTTTAAGGTCTCTGATGATGCTTTAGCGAAATGCTTTCTGCTCAGTCTCCAGTGGAGACCTCATCTGGCTTCCTTTGTTTCAAGGCAACATTGATGATGTCCCTCCGACAGGCTTGTTATGCCATAATTAACATGGCGAAACAAGGTGAACCTCTAAGTTAATGCTAAGCGCTATATGCTGTTATTTTTTGAGCAGCCATTCTCAGACATCGATACAGATCAGTCTAGTAAGTTTGGACTACCACTACCTTCAGGCTGCGGAGCACATCTCAGATAAGTGGCTCGAGAGGCCTGCCTCCGAAGTTCCTATGGGAACACTACCGAAAGTCATTTAGTGAACCCACCAACCAGATTTTTCAGTGTTTTTAAGAGTAATTATATTTTTTAGGCTATTTCTGGTACTGATCAAAAAACAACATGAAAGGAGCTAACTTTTTCATCTGCTGAATCCTCATGCCCGTTCGAAACATCTAGCCATCCTATGCCACCAGGTGTTTTGCAGGTCTCATCGCAAGTGCCTATAACTAGTATATGTTGAATTATGCTATACTTCTTAAAACCTACTAACAAAATATACCCAGCGCTAAACTAAGAATATGTTAGAGTATACTAAACTTTAGGGGAAACTCCTACTAAACTTTTATATACTAATTTAGAGATAACAACCTATATTACTCTCTATTTTATAGTACTAAGTAAGTACCTAGTTATATAAATATATCTAAGTCAAGTCTTCGTCCTTTATAATTAGTAGTTAATAGGGAAAATAATGGGTTCCTATTATACCTTAAGGTTATATAGGAATAGTAAGTAGTTCTCTATACTCTATACTATGTATAGTAGCTGCTATGTCACGGGCTAGAAGCTGTTTCAACCTATAACCTAGGTTTTGATGGTAAAAAATCACTAAGAGGGTCTTAACTAAGGCCACAATGGCCGAACATAAAAAGGGGGGGGTGTAACAGGGAGCTAGGTTATATGACCTTAGCTTACTATATTGATTAGACCTCGGCAAAACCCAACCCAGAACACCCCCCTTGAGCCCAAAACCCAGCCTAGGTAGAACCCAGAACACCCCCCCTAAGCCTAAGCCCAGCCCAGAACCCAACTGGGCTACCTAGTTAGGTTACCTAGGTTGTTTCATTTTAGTATAATTTTCCTAGTGTTGCATTTGGTGCGGGTTCGGGCGGGTTCAAGCCTGTTAGCCCCGAACCGCTGCGATTTCAGGTTCAAATTTTAGAACCCGCAGCCAACCCAGACCTAATGTAGTTTAGTTGCAGTTTTCACCGTAAAACCCACCGCTAGGCCTAGCTAGGCCTAGCTACATCTATACTAAGTAACCATGGTTAGATTCAGTTTGGTTTTAGGTTGGATAAACTGCTATTTTTAACCTAATATCTTAAGCTTAAAAGATGTGATGATATCTCTTTATATACTAATTATTTTAATTCAAAAATATATTTATATAAGAGTTAAGATATAGAGGTTTTATCTTAACCTAAGAAGTAATAGATTTAAGCTATATTAGGGGGGTTTATGGTTTGTGGCTGGAAATATAATAAAATACATAAATATATATATAAATATTATGTGCATTTATGCATAATAGTCACCACTATATATAATATTAATTCTTCTCTTCCTTCCTAAGCTAGGTCCATCCACTGTATTTCCACTTATCGGCAATGTTACGTATTTCTCTATGATTTTCAGAACTCTACGCATAATGAAACACTGATTGGTTACTGCCCGGCCTCTAGTTATATAGCTTAGCAGCTTTATCAGTTGACTGCAGCGGAAGCGATAAAGTCTTCATTTGGCTTCTATGGGTTCAAAGCCAGCACTATAGTTGACATGCCAACCCAGCCTGGGGCATAGACTTTGAGGATCTTCAGATTCCGATGTGCCATTTCTGCTAGAGCCTTGAACTGTATCACAGTCCTCTCCTGTCCGTTAAAAGTAGCCCACATTTGAAAATCGGAAGTCCTAGGGTGAAGCACGTCAATCAAAGGAATATCTCATATCCATTACAGAGTCTGACTTACCGCACAAATCGCTCCAAAAAGACACTATCTGTTCCCGGTTCGGGATGATTTGTTCACAGAGGATTATGCGGTCCCCATATTTCATTGCGGGAATGATGGCCTGTAGAATGCGACACGCGTATTTGTCATGCCAGTTATGTAGCACAGCGCGGAGAAGGTAAATCACGGTTTTATCAGCGATGCCATCTTGCGGTTAGAAGATATCATGAGCCTGGAAGCAGATGCAGTCCCAAAGCTTGGGGATCAAGGCCTCTTCGCCTTGTTTACATATTTGGGCCGAATCCTAGACAATGAAGTGGAGTCTAGGAAACTATTTCACAAGCATGATGCTTATGCGACCCTGGGAACCCCCAACCTGTAGAGTAAACTTCGATATTATCCTGTCATCCTTTCAGTAACACAGGATGAAGGAAAGCTTATGTTAATCACAAGAGCATCTCCTACACTAGACCAATTGAAGGCCTCACCCACACCTTTCAGTCTGCAAAGGCTGGATGAGGACATAAATCTGAGTGCTTTAACTAATCATTCAGAAGATGATGTGTCGCTCTCCAGATGCTGATAAAACATATTTTGGGTAACATTGGCAATATTCCAACCTGTTTCATTAGGTTCTATGCTAGCTCCCCATATTTGCAGAGCGTTGGCAAGGTGAGTACTCCCAATGAACACTTCCTCAAAACACAGACCCAAAAAGGCCTCAAACCGTTCATTGGACGCCAGTAAGTGAGAAAGTTGGGTGTGAGAAATACCATTAGGTGCCAGGTGGAAGAAATGGCTACTTATCAAAACAGCGATGACACGCTCAACTGCGGTGGCAGGCAATCTGACTCTCTGAGCAATCACATCATATATTACACTGCCATCCAGAGGTACGGCATGGGCGAGCTTGAATCTGTAGGCGATCCGAAGGGCAGATGCTGTGTGGACCTGACCCTCTTAGACACGATCGCTAGATGGGAGAGTGGGAGCATACGTTAAAGCATCTAAAGACCACTGACTCCCGTGCCGTCAGGGTCAGGTCAATCAGATTTGATGCGGCGCCACAAAGAGTTATACGGGCCCTATGAAATGCAGCTGTTTCGGGCGATAGGGGCGGAAGGTCTGGAGCCTGAGGATTGAAAGACAGGCAATCCCCGTGCTCGTTGATGAACTGATCAATAGACTGGGCGGCCTCAGAGACGATATGAGTAAGGTTGAGTAGCTCTGTAGGCGGCATGACAGTAAATATGATGTTTTTGAAAGCGGCCGAAATATATTGTGGCCATTTTTGGGTGCTCTCAAAGCCCACTGATCACCGACGTGTTCATTCACTCACCGACTATCCTGTCTGCTGCGCGAAGTTCCTCATATGACCATCCCTGCAGCTTTGCCTGCAGCAACATGCAGTGCCAACTGAATACAACAACCTTCATGCGCTAGCGCCACTTGTCCAGCGTAGTAGACAATGTGTCATCTGCATCTGGGGCCCCAACTGTCCGTTTTAAGTTTCGTCCAACTCTTTTAATACTTACCACTGTTAGTTGGCCACTATTGTTGACCACAAAGCATTTGTTTCTTTCCTTCGCCCATAGCTAATAAGCCTAGCTTTCTACGTCACAATGGCGCAGATCATACAGTTCTTGGACCTAGATCCCGTGCCGAGGAGCGACAGCCGAACGCTTCGACGACCGTGGGCCAGCTACTGGCCTCCACAGAGAGGAAGCCCGGTTTATGACTGGTTTACGTCGGAGTTTCCAGCAGTGCTGACGTACAGGTTTAATCCAGAAAGGCCGTTCGATCGACCATTTAAAGAATGGACCCGAACAGCCCGTGAGATGGGAAAAGATCTGACCGTGGAACTACTTCCCCCAGAGCCTCACGAGACGAACAATATAGTTGAGGCGGATTCTAAAGACGTGTCCGAGGAAGAACAGCGGCGAGAGGCGAGACGCTATGGGCGAACCCTGCAGATTGACAGCGAGATCAAGCAGCTCCGCCTCCCCGGTACTCAGGTCAAGGGATTCAATTATCTCCTCTGGAGCCCGAGGTACCTATTCGAGAAACCATTCCACTCTCGGCTTCCCCTTCTTGACTGCCTGAAGAGAAACAACGTCCAAAGCAAGGCTTACGTTGTTACCATCCACGACCTTTCCGGGTGCGAGGACCAATTTAATTTAGCGACTTCGGGGTTCCACTTCTTGCGTTGTCCTATCGATATGGAAGATTGGACAGATAAATGTATCCGCGACAAGTACCTACCGTCCATGCAAGACTGGCTGCAAAAATATTTCAGCTGTGAGCAAGCGCATGTGTACACCTACAACGTAATTCTACAATCAGTCATTACCCACAGTTCCTTGACCGCTGACATTGAGATGCAGGTGCGCTCAAAAGATGCGAAAGGCAACCTCACCACTTCATGGGTACCAACAGTCCCGTTTGCCCACTGCGGTGAGTCCTTGGTACCCCCGCACGTATATCTGACCATTCTGATAATCGTACCTCAGACGTGACCCCAAATGCAATCTCAACCCATTTAAAGCTCTATCTCCCGGAGAAAACAGATGAAATCATGAAGAAACGCCATCGATTTGTGAAGTAAGCTGGGTTGTCCTACCGTCCGCCGTAGCCCCACTGACCCTACTGTCTCAGCATATGGAGGACTCTCACTGGGCCATATCAGGATACGCCGTTGGCCGTCTGCGACTACCGAAGTGTGGATTCTAGTGACCTGGTCGCCTCGGATGCAGTGCTCGCTCACTACTGTGGTGAAGCCTATGACGTCAAACACAGTCCCCACCATCGCTGGTTCTACAAACGAGGCATGGACATCGAGGATGTGATTTTATTCAAACTGTTCGATAGTGATTCGTCAGAAGCCAATCGTAAGTGCCACCCTATGCAGAATAAAGTAAGCTGTATTAGGGTAGGGTAGGCTCCGGGATAACTGTATTCAAATGTATACAATATCGATACTGTATGGAAATATATTAGGAGAATACGTATGCGTATGTTATGTACGCCATGTATGGGCATTAGTAGTTAACTAGGTATTAAAGGAGAGGCATTAAGGTGCAGGTGTATACATGAAACAAGATCCTGTAAATTATTTTGGGTCATGAATACTTTTCATAAAGTACAGTACAGTACAGTAGAAAGCCAAGAACCAGGGGGCATTCGGAACAATTCCAAAAGTAGTTTATGCTGCCTTGGTAGTAGGGTCCGAAAAGGAAAGAGAGTATATAAGATAAGAACCTGGCGCCGTTTTTGCAATATGGTGTAACAATTGCAACTGCTTAGATTTCCGGGACAATATACGCCCAGTCGTGACTCTCCACACCGTAAATGATATTGTCAAGCCATTTATGGAACATGCTGGTGAATCCCAATAGATTGACTGGAATGGTAATCTCTTCCGCTTTCCACTTGATCCCAGCAACGGGTGTGACGGAGGCCTGACAGCTTTCAGTTAGCAAAGCTGTCACAGCCAGTTTGTAAACAGGAGATGGTGGTGCCTACATACCGAAGTGCCTGTGATGAATGCCTCAAGAAGTCTGCCCGCCTTTTGGGCCTTGAAGATATCATGGATGACGAACCTTCCTTCGCGCACCTCAAGGCAGGGAAGCTCGGCCGCCCCGGTGCTAGTATGTGACAGCCTTTCCCGGGCCAGTTCCAGGATACTTCGTCGAGTGATCCCATTGAGGATCAAGCGGTCGGTTACAGAACAGGTGACTAACTCAAGTACGTTCTCATCGTCCTCCCGTCGCCAGATAACGAAGAAGTTGCTTCCTCCTGATTCGGTCACTTGCCCATCCTCTGCAAACAGCCATAGCGTCGAGGTACAGCCGTTTTCTCGGGCATCAGTTTGTGCTGGCATGGTTGGTCCATAATTCGCCCCTATCTACTCCCGGGAGATTAGAGTCAGCCACCCTCTTGAACCAAAGAAAAAAAAAAAAAAAAAAAAAAAGAGATTGAAGGGTGGAGAAAGACGGAAAAGGGAGAACCTTTGCGCACCCAAACCCGCCAGGCCAGGCACGGACCTGGTCCGGCGAGCTAGCCAGAAGGTTGGCACACTGGTTTCCCGTCGACTGGGGGAACAGGGCCCCGAACAGGAAGAAGAGAGCTTCTGCGGGCTTCTGCATGCCCAGTGCTGAGCCAGTGCCGATCATCGACGGTCGCAGATAGAGGCTGGAGCCGGGGTGAGGCAGCCAATGAGGACATTCGATGCGTGCAAAGGTAGCAAGAAGAGTGAGCAGCTCATCGACACTGAAGGACGGAAGTCCGACGTAGGCATTGGACCGGAGCATCCGTTGGCAGTTGAGCCATGGTCGAAACAAGCGGAGCTTTCCATCCCAGCCGCGGTAAACCTTCAGGCCTTCCTGGACAATGGTTACATTAATTAACGGAACGACTTTGACGAAGCATAGGCTTGTACGTACGAAGGCCTCGGTGGCATAGTGGAGGACGCTGGCAGTCGGCTCGAGGGCGAGCTTGCCATACGGGCTGATCTCAGGGGCTTCCCACCCGCCATCAGCTGTCCAGTTGACGGTCAGTATATGTGCGGTGTGGAGGTTACGTCCTCGTCGGCTTGGGTCATCCAATTGCGGCGGGGGCGGCTGTTGGTCCTCGGGCAACAGCCGTAGAATAATATTAGAGGCATCAAGGCCTTTATGATTAGTCAGTCCCATTAAGTCGACGATAGGATCATGGCCTTTTCAAGGCTTTGCATTTAACGAGAGAGCCAAAATCAAAAATTGTATCTCTGGATTCTCGACAAGTTTACCATGCTAGTCGTACCAGGGGCCCCAAAAGCATATATTGGGTGTGCCGAATCATACTTGCAAAGGGTCATAATAGCGGCGTACCAAAATGACCTCTGTTTTGATTCTCAACTGTGCCTACTGGAGCTGGGAAGGTCATACTGTGCATCGGAAGGAGTAAGGGAGGCCTGATATGTAAAATGGGAGTCCAATTAAGGAGTAATCATAATAGGGTTCTTTGTTTTTGACCGGGATTGGGTCTGCTAATTTGGCCATTTATTAGACCTGTCTTAAAAGCGGTAATTTGGGACCGCAATTACAATGTCGGTGAGACTGCTGGTTACGTCAAGGCAGAACCACACCCATGACCATGCAGATGACAGGGAACGTCTAATGCATTGGAAAGAAAACTGGAGTAGGATGCGTTGGTCATATGCAGATAAACAGAATACTGAAGAAGAACAAGGGTGGGCGACTTAGTCAACTCGAGCGCCGGTTCCTATCGACGCAGGGGCTCAGAACAGGGAGTTCTCTAGATTACAAATCCTGATGGTTGAAGAACGGGGAGTATTAAAATGGCGCCTGTCCAGTGGTTTTGCCTTACAGTGGTGCGGTCATCGTCAATGGAAAAGCAGCAACAATGACTTTTTCGAAATCCAGATCGGAGCTGGATCTCGCTCTCCAACGCGGATTTGACCCTCGGCAAGTATTCATGCCAGATCTGACGTGTGTAGATGAGCCCATGAGGATATTGCTGGTCGAGTACAGCGGGTTGGCCCCTGAAGATATCTTAGGGCATGTACATAGCCTGGTACGTTCCCGACGATGAGGCATAGTCTAAGTCATACTAATACCGAGCCATTGGTAGAGGGACCGTGCTTTTGCAGTGGTAGAAATTCCTATTCTAGTAGATAAAACCTATCATTATTGATCGCTGACTCCTTGGGCTCAGTATCCCTATCCTTGCATTGCCAAATTCCAGTTCTTGGAAGTTTGCCTACCCCTGTTCCCAAACTTCGCAGAAATTCTGGCGCGCACCAAATCTAGAGAAATATTTCTTGACTTGGGATGCGCGTTGGGACAGGAATTGCGGTTCTTGGTAAACTCGCTTCTTTCTTAATGGGCTGTTATTTAGTAGTTCTTCACTTTACTGAACATGCCTTAGGCCTCGCAAGGCGTTCCCTCTGAGAATCTATATGGGTTGGATGTTCGCTCAAGCTTCTTCGACCTGGGGTTCTGACTCTTTCAAGATCGTGGCCGCTTTCTGTCTCGGCTAATGCATTGACTCTGATTTCTGATCCAAGTTATACGGACTGTATTTTAGGGAACCGCTACCTTTTAGGTGCCACAAAGTCATCGCCAGCCAATCAGTCCTAATCAAATGGTTCTATCCACGCCCAAAACACGGAGCTAAAAGGTCCGGTGCCCTCGGGTCCCGAGAAATACGTTGAGGCCGAGGCTGATAGAAGGCCAAGTTGAATGTGTACGTAGTAACATCTTTTTACAACGTTGTCTTCCAACCACAATTGAGTTATACATGCTCAGTTATAGCATTTCCACATGGTTACAGTCTCAAGGACGACATTTAACCTGATTGCACAATCCTCGTCAGGCAGGGCTCAGCAGCAACATTGTTGTGAAGTGGGAATTCCCACCGGCATGTCCCCTCGCCAGGAATTGAGATGGTCCTATCAATGCTCCAGTCCACCCTCTCTCTCATATCGCCCAGCATTGACTGCACGACCTGCCACCTCTGCACCTCCTCTTTTGAGTCCAAGGTTATTGTTCCCCTACTACTTGGCCAGCGTGTTTCCCGTTTCCAAACATCTTTGCCCCCTTGCCTAAGTAGGAGACATCCACACAGTCACTCCACGCGAACTGAGATCAATACCGCCATCTCTCCCTTCGCTTCCTGGCCTTGCCGATGTAGTGATTCGTTCTCCGCTGGCTTGTCCGAGGAGGTTGGGATACTTCGTCTGCCCGGGAATCTCCGAGGTGATCCCATGACCAATGCTTACCCCCATACTCAGGCAACTCTACCAAACTTTAAACGACTCGACCTCTCTCGCCAGTCGGCACAGCCTGTTCCAGTAGGGCGGCTAGATAAGCCATCTCTCTGTGCTCGCCACCATCCAAGCCTTCATTATCAACTCTTATCACACTGGTCTTCGATGTAGTCCCCGGGATATGCATCACTGGACGAGCTCCTGAGGGCATTCTATCGCTTATCTACGCGCGCCGCTCGGAGAGCAGATGGCCTCCTTCGAAACGGAACTTAGGATCCTGGATCGCGTTTTTGTTTACCGAGTAGCCACAGCGGCTAGATAAGGGCACTGGATCTTGCCCCCTATCTCCCTAGTGGTATGGGGATGGATTGTCGCCCTAAGTGGATTCCCACTAAACACAGAATGATCAGCTTGCTATATAATGGCCGTTTTCCTTTCTGAACAAATTTAGACGAAACACTTGGTCAAAATAATCTTACTTTGATCTTTGAAACTGCACCCAGCTGTCTCCCAAAGATTAGCAAAATGACCTTAAACTGCGACAACAAGCCTGATCTAACATTAAGTCCCCGGGTTAGGAAGCTCTTGGAGCTGGAAAGTCAGTTTACAGTCGGCGGCTTCGAACCTCTGCCGTATTTCTTCGAGAAAGCCCAGGGTTCTCTGCTATGGGTGAGTGAAGTGAAGGGATATGGAAATAGCGAGTAAGTGAGGTAAATGGTGGTTGCAGGACGTCGATGGAAATCGATATATCGATTTTATCGGTATGTTCAGTGCTGTCAATACAGGACACTGCCATCCCGATATCCAGGAGGCTGTGATCGAACAGTTAAAGAAAGGTATGCTCAGGTAGCCCAGAATTTCGCAAGTTACTATGTGACTGACTGGATTATGCTCAAGTCACATTACTCAATCTATCGTGTCATACTCCTACCTTCGGCCTTTTCGCAAAGAGGCTATGTACACGATTCTGCTACGACAAAGTAGTCGCTATGACGTCAGGCACAGAAGCAGTGGACACGGCTTGTAAGATCGCTAGAAAATGGGGTATTCATCAAAAGGGCATTCCCCCACAAGAGTGTGTAATCCTTGGGGTTGGAGGGTGTTATCACGGACTCGGCTCGGGAGTCTGGAGCCTAATGAACGGACACTCTTTGAGGGTCAAAAGTAGGCATCCTACGACATTGTACTATTATGACATGCTAATGATATGCCGGGAAAGGGTATGGCCTTGACAGCAAAATTCAGATGAACACAAACCCACGCACTGGTGAAGTACTGGAGTATCTCGACCTAGACAGGATGAGAACTTGTCTCGAAGAGCACAAAGATCGAGTGGCTGCCGTTATCATGGAATGCATACACGGATATAGCCAGTAAGCTCTGATCACCTTGGATTGTGTTAATTCTCGTATAAATGCTGATTCTTGATATAGAGACGTAAATGAGGAGATTAGCTACGCCCGAGGCGTTTATGATCTCTGTAAATCCATGAATATCCTCTTCATCGCGGACGAGGTGCGACAAGGTGTTGGAAAAACCGGAAAGTTTTTCAGTTTCCAACATTTAGGTCACGACGTGAAACCAGACATCGTGACAATGGGAAAATCTATCACGGGAGGTTTCTACCCCCAGTCGTTCATCATGGGCCTGGACGCAGTCATGGCGTCTGTTGGGCCATATGAAATGGCTAGCACCTATGGCTTCACTCCGATAGGAATTGCAGCTGCAAACGCGACTATCGACGTGATCGACAAAGAAAATCTGATCGAACGAGGTGTCTCTTTAGGGAATCTGTGGAAGAAGACTGTCGAATCTTGGAATCATCCTCTTGTGGACTATGTTGCACAGGTCGGCGCCGACTCTAACTTGATCCTTCGGGAAGTGCAGCCCTCCCGTGTAGCAGCTCTGTGCATGCATCGAGGGCTATTTGTGTATCCTAAGCCAGACGGGATACGACTGAGCTTCGCTATGACCATGTCGGACGAACTGCTGCTTGAAGGAGCAGCTATTCTGAAAGGATGCCTGGATGATGTGGACAATTACGGGTTGATTGAATTGGAGTGATCCGTTTTGGGCAACTTTAGATGACTTTCCTCTCTTGTCAATTCTAGAAGGACGGGTCTCCTGCCCTCTGTGTAATTGATCGATATTTGAAGCTGGATCTCCTTTCCACGACGGAACAGATGGCCCAACTTTAATAACTGTTTCTCCACCACCGTCCCAATTGTTAGAATGTTCAATACATTACAATGTTCAGAAATTGCTAGTCATTTGTATGCGACTAAAAACTATCAGAGCTTAATTCTTCTCAGAGTGACCATCTAAGTGATCCATATTCCCTAGCTATGTTGGATAGGAGGGTTAGCGCTTAGTATTTGTGACACAAGTCGTCGCATAGTAGATCAGTGCGCCAGTTGAGGGTAGACCACTCATCTTGATCAGGTGGATAAAGGCATACGGAGTAAGGAAAACTCAGCCATATGCACCCCTTAGCCCATGAAATCACACAGGGGAGATTCCTATAACACCACCAAATATACTAAGTTTAGAGAGCATGAAGCACAGTACAACACCTCCTTATAAACTAGCACCCCACACACCTCAAATGCCTCACCCCAAATATAGATAGGGCACACTGTGATTCCCAAGAAATCACTAGGACCCTAACTAACATATCCAGTGATCCAGGGGGGATCACGGAGGCTACCCTGCCATCACTGAGCATATCTAGCCTAGAAGATAGCTTTAAAGAAATCTTCCAGCTCATAGATATATAGGGCACTGTTCCCATTGACCCCGCGATGCTTGCCAACAATGGGTCCTGGGTGGCTAGCAATCAACGCCAGCCAGTCCCACCATGTGACAGCACTATTAATTCAGAGATAATCTGTCCATATCCTAAACCTCCACCTATTCTTCACAACACACATGGGAGTTATTAAGACTACAGTGAAGGTGCAGGCAACAGCAATACTGGTATTCAGACAAATTATCATCCACATATCCATGGTCATCCAGATTTGCACTCATTTAATCACAACGCTGAACCCAACCTGTCCCACCTAAGTAGCGCTAGTGAGCCATCTAAAAACTCTAAGCGCAAGAAACAGCAATTAGATGGATGGATGAGCTCTAAAACAGCTCTAAGTTTCTGATAGATTACAGACTAGAGAGAATTCAGTTACTAGCCTCTATTCTTATTTCTTAACTCTACCACTTAACAGATGTTTGCAATTTCTATCCTGGCTATTTAAAGGTGTCCTATAACAATGCACACCTGACTCCGTACCCATATGTAAGGAAAGAAATACACAGGCATAGTATTACTTAACTATCCATGCAGTGGATGAACAATCATGGCAGGATATCAGTGAGGCCCATAGGACCTCTAGGAAGGGTAAACCATGGACTATAGAAGAGGTGGAACTGCCTGAAGCTAAGAAGGGATGAGAAATAACCTTAGTTGGAGGTAATAAGGTTATTCTCAGACTAATATCCAGGCCAGAGTCAAGATTTAATCTAAGTGTACTGGAGTATGACCCTCAAGAAGAGGATTAGATAATGAATTATTAAACCATGCTGAAAGAAGCTTGTGATCAATCACTCCTATAATATCACTTAATGACTAAGAGAATAAATAACTACTTCTTTCCCACAGCCATTTCCCACAGCCACAACCTGATAAGTCCAAAAAAGCAGGTCACTTGCCTGAGCTCTTCTGGCTGAGCTGCCACTCTGTTTAATAGCTCTAACAGTAACCATAACATCCCGGGATGCGCCATCTTAAATATGCAGTAGTCAATAATCAGTATCTCAAAGCTCTCGTGTCCCTAATTAAACATAAAGAACAGGTGTATACTGGCTCTCTGCCCTTTCACACTTACTATGCCAATGGGGCACTCCGAGAGTCTATCATAGAATAATGGAACAACAGATCAACATCCTTAATAGAGGTCTGGTCACTGCACCTTCTAAGTCTGGGATTAAATACATCCGCGTCCTTATTATCATTAAGGTCGTTACAGGCAAGGCGCTAGAGAACAAAGGTTATAGACAAAGATGAGGTAGAGAAGAACTGTCTATAGGCAGTGCTTATACATGCATATGTCTGAGGAGCACATGCACTCTATAATAGAGGTAAAGACTGATCATCCACCCTTAATGAAGGCAGTGGATGTCATGGTTGGGAAAAAGAGGTTACCGCCATCAGGCACGTTTTATGGTAGCAACCCTTCACTAATCACACGCATGTACCCTTCACTAGTGGACTATTATAGGTCACAGATATAACACCAGAGGGGAGTAGGGTAGGGGGAGTATAACTAATGTAAAATAAAGGATAATCTAGTTACTAATTATCCTTATTTTTTTACGGGATACAATAGACATCCATAGAATAATAGAGTATAAAGAATAGTTCACTTATTAAACTATATAATCTCTATATTACCTTTTGCTAAATAATGTAGTTCCTGTCCCATTGCTAAATAGTAACAGCATACAGAGAAGGCATTATAGCGCGCTAATTAAGTCTTCACAGTAATAACTAAAAATCTACTTCCTCTACTTATGATCCCAATCGTCCCCTACGTAGCCGGATTGTGGAACAGCAGCTAGTTAAGTCATAAGGTATTTTATAAATGCATTTAGATCTCCATTAGTGAGCTAAAGTAGCAGAGATTATTATATTTAAGGAAGAGAGATATTATATAAAGTAACCTTCTTAAATATATAGTAGTTACCCGCGGGATAGTTATGCAAGGTCACCTACAGCAGAGGTTAGTGGATGGATCTCTAGTTGATTTTAATAAGATATAGCAGGAAATAATATCTCTATCTAAAGATAGTTTTAAATGGACTATCCCTGGGTTCTTTATAGTAGAATAATTTACTTAAAAGCGGAGAACTGAGTCTCTCACTATATAGTATCTTATTCTATGGTAGATAAGTACATTTAAAAGACAAGTTTATATCTTGATATAATTAATTATATCCTATTTCTTGAACAGCTTAGCCATTCTAGGGTGACGCTTACAGGCTAGAACAAATATCTATATCTGAGCAAAGATATACAAGGAAGCTTAACTTATATAGTGCTAAGCATTCTACAGGCCTGTATCATCTGAGACTGGGATCTAGAGAGCTAAGGTTGTAGTCTCCATCTAGATATAAGCTCTAACTCAAAAAGTGAACTCTGAGAATAGTACAGATACTGTATAATATTATTAATATTAATGGACTGTACATAGATAGCTTCATCTGTTAGAGTAAACATTCAGAATAGGAGAATGTGTGTAAGAGCTAGTAGCCCACAGTACTAAGTTAAATAAATACAGAGTATTAGACTTAAAGCCTAGCAGTTAGGCGAACCTAGATCTTATAAGCTAAAAAGAGACTATTTTAGACTGTATAATCATTCTCTCCCTAAGAGAGAAATAAGCACAAAGTATTATAGTATATAGCCTCTGCTGCGGCTAATATAAGCAAAGTACAATAATGTTTGTACTTAAGCCTAGCTCATCGCTGTTCACCTTACACTTTCTGAGCACATTGTGCGCTCCCTGAGTGATCTAGACTTTGAACTAAGCAGAACTAAGCTGGAGTGAGCAGCCTAATAGTGCAGCAGAAGGCGTCATCTCTCAGCCTTAGGGGGTGTACATGCTCAAAGACCTGACCTGATATTTTCGCTGGGGATTTAATCAACTGAATTACCCTGCCGAGCAATTCATACTGGTTAAGAGGATTGAAAGTTGACCAGCAACAGGCCATATCCGACCAGTAAGCGCTGAAGATGCCGAGGAAGTTGCCGCACCAGAGTAGGGAGAAGTGCGACCCGCTGCGGTGAGAATGCTAATTGACTGGATTGGGATACCTAGCTTATCTGTAGACTTTCGCCTGGCCCTCGCATATTGGATAAAATGGTTAAATCTTGCTCACTATCATTGTTTCTATAACCACATCAGATATTCCTGCTATTGCTTTGCATGCGGGTAAATACTATAATAATCTAAAAGCATTACCATTTTCTCCTAGTGTTCTGATTGTTTAATTACTCTTCTGCTTCGCCTGGGTTACTATGTTTTACTACATTTCAGTTTCCCTTTATTACAATCAGCACCATCAGGAGGTGTTACTTTTGCAACAGCTCTGTTCAATAAATGATGTTTCCTAACTAGTCGCTCTAAGTGATGGTTACAGCTGGTGGGCTTGACCAATTTCCCCCTTATAGAGTGTCTAGTGTTTCCGCGATAACCTTAGTTCCCGCAGGCTGAACCTCAAAGTGACACTTAGTTAAATTTCAGGGCAGTTCATACAGTCTATACTCCTGTGAAAGATTGTGGAACTGTGATCTTCCACTAACCTACTTTTAGTTAGTGGGTTTCATTGTAGCCTCATTCTTGTGGTTTCTTAAGGTATTTAATGAAGTCTTAGCTAATCTTTCTTCCTTGTCTTTTTATACACTGCACTATCTTTAATGGATATTCGCTCCTGCCCCATACGAGTGATGGTTTCTGGGTAGATTATATGAGAAGGTGTTAGAGGCGGGTTAGGTTACTTGGGTGGTGACCCAGGATTCGCGAGGTTGGGGAGCTGGGCAACCTAGATGAAATGCCGTGCTTGTCCTTTGACATGTTAACTAGTGAGGATCTGGGTGTCTTCCTTCTATATAAGCCATGTAATAACGCTTCCACAACGTCGTCATTGTTCAGCGATATGGTATTTGCTGTATTTGGAGTTAGGTTCACCTACTGATGCTTTCCAATGGGCATCTTGTTCGACTAATCCCTAGAGCTCATAGGCTTGGCCTACTTCCGTTTTATGGTGGCCTAGAGCTGCATCCCAGTATCCTGTACAGTCAAAATGACTGCAAGCTAAAAAGGGCTTTGCCTCTGGCGTCACCCCTGGTTAACCAGTCAAAAACAACCACCTACTAGATGTGTCAACTGTGATAAACCAGCATTTGGAGCATATGGCTGGTTAATATTATCTATCTATAGTTGCTACTGTTTGGGTATTTCTGTGGTCTGCTTTGCCCAGGTCAAACCTTGCTAAACGCCCACTGTGCCGACTTGTCGGGGATCTTGACCTGTTCAATTAGCAGTGGAATCGCCGAACTGCTACTGTCGGTTTATGGGCTAAAAAAAAAATCACCTAACCTCCCCTTAACCAACTCTAATTGGCAAAAACCATATTACCCTTCTAACAATGAGTGGATTTCGACCCTGGTCAAAGGAAACCGTATCGCGGTAGCCAGGCTCTGATAGAACATGGAGAGAGGCTTGACCATTACTGTTCGCTCTGGTGGGTGGGCCGAGAAGGCCCCAGTGAAGGAGATGTATAGTCTACATGACCGGTCCGGCCACACCTGGACATCACCTGGTTATTTCTGGTCATTTCACTACGAGTAACGGGAGCGTCATGTCTCTCCACTCTGCATGGATTTCCAGTTCCTTGCTGCACCAGATGCTAGCTGACCTACAATCCGTTGCCAGCGTTCGTCTCCCTCAAAGCTGCTGTCAACCAGCAGCTCTCAGGTCGCCTTATTTGCGAGTTCCGTTGCCGTGTGGGCCGGTGCCCGGAGCAAGCAAGGGGAGGAACTATCGTTGAGCAAACTCAGTGAGTATACTTGTGGGATATAAGCGCAAGAGAATATAATTAAACATAGATATACCATGATAAGTAAGTCTCACGACGTTGAAAGTATGGATAGCAGGGCGCGTCTTGCCCCGGAGGAGAGAAGGGATGAATTTCAGGTTGGATCCAGAGCGGGCATCAGATGGTTAAAACTCGCTCACCACTGGGCACAATTTAGCTAATGCAATGTCGGGGCGCACATGATTGCGTTCGGGGTCACTAATTATAGCTAGGACCACACTACTGCACCGCTTGGCCGGGGTGGAAGTCCTTGGCGCTGTAAATGACTACTGAAAAGGTTCTCTGGAAGCTGAGTTCAAACAAGCCTTGATCATTGACTTCCATTGATGCACCAGTGGATGACCGAGTTTAGCAGCATTCCAACCTGCCAAGACTATCTGCAGAAATATCTGCGGCAGCTCTGCCTCTGCGCCTTCCGGAAAGATGTCTTTACGCAGATTAAGGCACTGCTGAAGCCGGAGTCCGCGACCGCTGCCCTGGCCGGTAACCACCCCGCTCTGTTGGCCCAGTCTGGAAGACGCGCTCCCGGAGCGATTCCGGCCACCCCACATCACTTTGGGGAACCGGACGGCCGTCAAGCATATTAACATCCTCTTCACATAGCTCTGGGAGTGGCGGGACGGCCGATTTGAGCGAAAAGGTTGGGACTATAAGCCCTATTGCCTTTTGTATCAGAAGAGCTTCGAGGTGATTACCCTAATCCAAGGCAAGGACGCTGCTTGTCAGTGGAAACAGGGCCTGAAAGATTCCTTTATTCAGGGCCATTGGATGCTGCCCTATCCCCAGAACAACAGCTTCATGTGAAAATTCAAGGAGAGTGGCCAGGTCATGTGGCGGTCCAGTGTTCACTGAGACCTGGATCTGTATTACAAGGAACTGGATGTCCACTTAACATTCTTCCCAGCCTCCTATATCAAGCATCACCCTGTTCAGCGCTGGGGCCACTCTGAACCCTCCCTGTCCCATCCGGACTATACAATTGAACTAGAGCAACGGCTTCTTCATCTCTCCGACAGTGAGCTATATCAGCAGCTCACTGAGTTCCGTACTCAATGGACGTTGGCCGCTCCGAGACCATCTCCCTCAGGGCGCCAACCATCCCGGCTAATCTTTGAGATACAGGGGCGGATTCATGATCCATCTGATCCAATTACGGGCCCGGTTGAAACATGGTCGCTATGTGCATGCAGCCGGATGCTTCTCCGCATTGTACAAATATGAGATCCTTTAGCATCGGGGCCAATGTTTCCAGCGCTGTCGCCGCCATGCCACGCCCCCCGACCACTACTCCGACACCCGACACCGAGCCCGAGGGGACGGCCGATACTGACGAGCAATCGTGATGAAGAGGGGATTGAACCTCAGAAAACACGGGTGGCGGAGTACATCCAGCGGATTGAGAAACGGATGTTTATGATCATCAGTGCGGATCGCAAGGGATGGATGGGCCCTTATAGACATGACGAGATGATCAAAAGTTTTGCGCCTTAACTCTGTTGACTGCTCCATCATCCGTTCTCTCTTCTGCTACTACTTGATATTCCAGTGGATAAGAACTATCACCCGCCGCCGCCGCCAGACAACATGACTCTACCCCAGAGGCCCTACGGGGCCGGAGGTGCAGCAGATATCGGGTTCAGTGGACCTATATGGCGCTAGGGTTTGGGGTCACCACCGGGCGGATTCCTCCTTGCCCCCGCATGGACTGGAGTGGACAAATTCGCGGGGGAGACACTTAGTCCAGCCTGGCAATGGAACCACAATCCAGACACAACAAAATTCTCCCTTCATAATGCTGGATTGACTCTGCACACCGCAACTGTGACAGCCGATCTTTATGCGGCAAGAAACACGCTCACGCGCCGTCTTCATGGTGCAAATCCCTATGGAGTAGTGGAGATCGACTTCAGCAATATGGCGGATGGCGACCATGCCGGACTAGCAGCGTTGAAGGACGCAAGTGCTTGGATTGGCATAGTCCGCAATGGTACCGAGTATCGTGTGGTTGTTACCCATGGTCTTGCCATGGGAACGTACGGAGGAACGACAAGCACACGCACAACTGTAGCAACAACTCCGATTATCCGAACAAAGGTGTGGCTGTAGGTCAGTCTTGATGCTGCCGCCGTGGGTTCCCACGAAGCGCACTTCTTCTACAGCTTAGATGGGAGCACATTCATGGAGCTGGGAGACGCCTATACTCTTACCACCGACTATCTTTTCTTTATGGGATACCGTTATGGAATCTTTAACTACGCGACCCAGGCTCTGGGTGGCTCTGTTGATGTGCTTAGTTTTGCAAGTGAGTCTAGCTAGGAGCCATTCGCAAATTTTAAGTGCGATATGCTTAGTTTGGTCATGAACGGTTGTTGCAACCTGCCGTCGTTGTGTATCACTCTTATCTAGATGGTCAAGCACTAGGGTTAGAGGGATGTCTACAACTTTGTCCAACGTCCTCTAGCTGGTATCGTTATGTCTCCGCCCAGTAGATTGTATATATATAGCTAGCTACAGAGCTGCACCTTCGATGCTGCTAATTATGGTTTTATCCAATGACGTCGCATGCTTCTTGTCGCAGGATAAGGGTAGGTATAATATCCACCTGGGGCCTGCAATTAAAAACCATGCAACTGGGACATGGCAGAGCAAGAAGCCATCGCACATATCATCCTTGAAAGCTCTACATCTGAACTCTTGTACTTACTAAGTATGGTTGAGAACCAGCCATGGATAAGACTACTACCGATCGGATTCTTATTGATTAAGACTAAAAGGTACGGTTGGTTCATAGGACTAGGGCGGGGCCAATAGCCATGTATATCACACATTTTACTTTTGCAAAAGACCTTGATAGAGTGTGATAGTTTCAGGGAAGCAAGCAGAGTGATAACCATCCCCCTAAATCATTGTATAGTGTATGAAAGATGGATGGTTATACACACAGTGACGCCGTCAAAGTAACCGGCTGGGGACAACCATAGACCTTCTTATGAGCCGGCGTACTGTAGCAGCCAGCATCGTTGGTCGCGCAGTCAAATTCCTCGCAGCCTTCTCCGGGGCTCAGCGTGTTGTGGTTTGCCGCGAAGGGGTTACCCCATTCATTGCTCAGCTCATCTGAAAAATGCCGTTAGTGGAAGATTTCGTAGAGGACAAGTGGATATGGAATACTCACAGTACGCATAGTCTGGGTTAGAAGAGAATGAATAGCCAAAGAAGAGAGGCTTATCCAGCGTTTTGGTCTTGGCGATCTTGATGGTCTGCGCATTCGTTCTGGTCAGCCTCTCTCATTATCTGGCTTTAGGGCAGAACAGATAAACGTACCGATCCAGAGGCTCTGAATTTCTCCGAGAATGTTCCGCCCGAGGGAATGGTGGTTAGAGGGCTGGGGGCGCTGCCATCGTAGGGGAACGACTGCACGTACACAGTGGTGCTACAGTCGTTATTCACGATGGCATTCTGGGCAGAGGTTAGGCCGAGGAGGGTACCGAACGCAATCAGAGAAGTCTTCATGGCGGATATTAGTCTAAAGGTTAGCAAGGAATAGTTAAAGTACCTGTCTCACCCTCGATTAGATGAGGGGAAGCCCGGGCTTCATATAGCTCTGCTACTCAAACACCGCAGTACCGATGAGTTACCGATGAGGAACATCCAAGAAGAGCATCCAAGACATCGCGGCGCCCTGGCCCATTCAACGTCCTGGATTGTCAGGCCACCGCTCGGGTATCCGTTTCCCCGCCAATCAACACGGGTGGTAGGTGAGACATGCGCATCATAGCCACTGCATGTACTCCGCATCAGACACCGCACGGGATACCATTGCATCCCGGCGGTCAGTTTCTCAACATTGGATGGGCGTCCTGTCGACAGTGATCCACGTCAAGTAAGGATGATCTCAGTGGTGTGGAGATACTCCTGGAATCAAGGAATTCGTCAGTCTAGAATCTCAGCTGGTTTCCCCACTTCTGACCCCGGCCAAGTACCCCCAAAGTCATCCGCCCGTTCCCCACGTGAATGCGATGGTGGATGCTGTCCCCCGTCAGACCGCGGCTCCATGGGTATGTCGCAAGGAATGCTTGTAGTACGATGTGTATATTCTTCCTTCCAGAGTAGACATGTCCTTTACAGAGATTCTCGAAATCGGCCTGACCCCCAAACTCACGTCAATTATTTGTTAGCCCCGCCGCCAGAAGCTTGGCGTGATTATTCTATTGAGCCAACCACATTCAAAGACCGGTCATAATCACCTTTGATACAATGTAAGTTATTCATGCACATATTTACTTTCATATTTTATCCCAACTCAGTACAATACAAGATGCTGACAGCCTAATCCGAACAACTTGCTTGATGACTTAGATCACAGAAGCAAGGGCTTGGTACTGCATGCCAAGCAGACAGACAGGCGAGCCCGTTATTCATTCCTACTATCTTTTTGCTCTAAAAGGCGGGAGTAATCTATACAGCAGAGGAATTATACCTGACCTAACTAGACAAAGGACATGCTATACAGACTTATTTAAATTGCAGAATGCATTAAGTACTGCCACATTAGCTGTCTTAAGCATATTATTCCTGATTTAACCAACCTACTCAGGGATAAGTATTTAAAAATGGATAGCTGGATAGCAGCCCTTCCTAATAGCAGGGTCACAATTGAGTCTTCCACCAAATGGGTATAAGGGACTGCCAGATGGGCATCTAATATTAGCTACTATGAATGGTATAAAGCAGACCACAATAAATAGAAGAGAACTAGGAGAATCCTCTATATTAACCATTAGCTTGCGCATACAGGAAAGCTAAGTAATGGATACTATCTTTATAAAGGGGTGCCAGAGCCTAAAGAGCTAAGAGAAATAAATTATCTAAGATAGTAAAGATTTATTATTATAAACCATACCTACATCCTGTGATAGAGTGTCTACTGACCATATCTAGATAAGCTATTTGCGGCACATAATATAAATATATAGAGAGAACTTATTTAGTAATAGAACTAGGAGTCTAGGAGCTGGATCTTATTACTAAGTAATAGCTAAGCAGTTTTAAGATTAAGGAGGAAGTAAGATCTTATAAGGAGGAGTAACTTTAAGCTCTAGGCTATACTTAATTCTATTAGTATAGTGGCCTGTAAATATCAGGAATCTTTCTTAACTATACTACATCTAGCCTAGAAATACTAGAAAATGCTTATAACTCACTCTATATAGGCTAATAGATGCAGTCTGATATGGATGAAAGGTGGTATTATTCTTAAAGGTGAAGCTAAATACTTTATTTACTATAGACCTAGTAAATAGAGTTAGAGCTGCTATTTAAAATAGCTAAATATTTATTATGTTCTATTTTAGGTGCTTTCTACTCTAGAAATACTAAGTATTCCCATAATAACATCTTAGGTATTAGCTAGCCTAGTCCTGCCTTAATCCTAGCTATAATTCAGGCCTAGCCCTCTCAAAGAGGGATACTAATAATAACACTATAGATAATAATATTTCACTAAGATACTTAACTACTATAGACTAAGGAGAGGGACCACTATTATAATATAGTAAGGACTACTAAGAATATATCTAGTGCCCTCTACTTAAGCTCTATAACTACTGCCTTGCTCCCTGGAGATTAGTAGAGGTAGCTATACTACTAAAGATAAATAAGAGAGATAAGTCTTCTATCCACTCTTAGTACCTAATTATACTCCTATCTGTGAATAAAAAGTGAAATAGTATATACTAGATAGTATATAAATGACAAAGGAAATTTCACAAGTGTAAAGGGGAATAGATGGCTTGCCTAAGTATAAAGAAAGAATAGGAAGAATAGGAGGAATAGTAGTAGAATAAAATAGAATAGTAGAAGGAAAATAGCTAAGGATGCCTTAGCTTAATGTCTTAATTCCTTGGTTCTTCTAACTAGCTATAGGGTGATTTTAAGGATGTATTTATAGATGATTCCTTCTAGCATAGGCCATTTGAATATTAAATGATCTCATAGCCGGGTGATCTCATAGATTAGATCACCATTCGCTAATGGTTGAAATCAGTGATTATCGATGATAATCCACGGCCGCCAGAACCATGGATATGATCAACGTTCAACCATAGCGGATCAATCTAGAAGTCATGTCCAATATGGACATTAGTTATAGTAGTAAGAATTATAGCTCTTACCAACACTATCTTACATCTATAAGGTTATTAGATAGACTATTACCTATTATATTATATAGGCAGTACTTACTAATAGACTAATTAGTCCCTAGCACAGCAGAGCACTATATAAGCACTTAATAATATAGTAGGTTATGGCCTTACTCATAATGTGGAGGCTACCCTAGCTTAGGGCTAGAGAGTCACCCTAGTTATACTAAATATCTAGGGAGCTATTAATGCCCTTCTTAATAAATAACTCCTACATCTTATAATAGAACTAAGCTAACCTCTACCCCTTATCTATCTTCTTAACTACTTATTAGCACACTAACTATATTTAATTTAATTATATAATATCTATATAACCTCTTAACCCACCTATACTATATTATTATACTTTATAATAATGTCTCTAAGGTAAAAAGAGATGAGAATAGCTACTTTATAGTAATTAGTAAAAACCTTTAGGTCTATATAAAAGCTTACTAATTTTCTAAAAGAAAGCTAGCTATTATCTTTACTAGACCTCTATAAGTTAATACTTATTATTTAGTGTTCTATTTTTCCATGTAATGCCTATAGCTAATAATAATATTATTCTTTTATTACTGCTGAAAAGCTCCTTTTTAGAGAGCTATAATAGTTAATATTATCCTCCCTAAAGGCACATTCATCCTAAAGGCAGAAAAATAGAATATCTAAGCTATATTAATCTACTATAAAAAGTAAAGGAGTCTAATCTAGTAATAGCTATCTATTCTCTCTAGTGAAATAGAGGCCTATTTTAATATTATATTAAGAGGGAGACCAGATTGTATATTAAAATAAGTAATTAACTATATATTATAGAATTAAGAAAAGTCTAAGTATTTTAGCTCCTACTAGGATCTTACATAGCTTATCTTTATATAAATATTATAATTTTCTCTACTAATAGTGGTTAATGATCTACTCTATAATAAATTTATATATTAAAAAATAAGGATGTGTAGCAGATATCTAGGGAAACCATACTATAAAATATATAAGGATAGAGTATTACTAATATTTTATATACTCTAATACACACTTAGAATAAATCCACTATATAGAGGCACCTATAGTCCTTATTTAAGCTATAAGTATAGGATAGGCTAACTGCTATTAGATTCTATAGTAATACTATAAAATTAGTAAGGAGTAATATATAATACTATAGAGTAGAATATAAGGGATATCTAAGAAAGTCTAATTATAGATATTATAACCTCTGCTAAGGAGTAGTTTACTAAGTACTTACCTATAGAAGAGCTTCTAAGGAAGTATTAGCTTAGAGAACTCCTATAAAGATATACTACCTTTAAGAATACTCTAAGCTAGTAGAAAGACCTATTTTACTTTTATTATAGCTAGTCTAAGGATAATTTCTCTATGACCTCCATGACCTTCACTAAAGGGTGTAGGGATCTAGTAGCTAAAGCAAGAATCTATCTTTAGCTAGGACTTATGAAGTATATATATAGTACTACTAGTTATATTTTTAAGCTAGAGCTAGTATAGATAGTATATTAGCTAGTAGTATGGCTTCTCCCGCCATATTACTGCTGAACTATTAAATAAGAGTTTTAGTCAATAAAGCCATTATATTATATCATTTAAGTAGATAATATACTATCTTATGTTTTAATGTTAAATAGCTATATAGATAACTCTATATGATATAATATACTAATAAGCTCTAGAATCCTCTCTTTATAACCTATTCTTTAAGGTGTATCTAATAAATAAATATAATTAGGATATATATTATAAGAATAAAGTAGTATATATCTTATTATCTTTTAGAGGCTTAATCTCCTAATAAATAATAAATACTCTTATTTACTTACTATCTATGCTGCTTTTTTAAGATGTTAAATATAAGTAGACTGATAGAGAGGTTCCTTTTCTAATACTTTATATAAGCTATGGGCCCTTGAGTAATTAAGCTAGTAAGATCTAATATATTTAAAAAGTAGATGAAGATGAACTTTAGTAAAAGGTAGTAGTATTAGAGTATAGAGCTAAAATAGTCACTTTTCTAAGCATAATATTATTATTAAGAGACCTATAGTTAGTTCTTAGAAAGTTATAGTATATAAAAATTCTTTTTATTAATATAGTTATTTCTAGTTATATAAGAACCTATAACTTCCCTTACCCTGCATAGTAAGATATAATAGGCTAAAAGAGAGGATCCTTTATTAAAATATTTACTCTTATTCCTTATTAATGGGTACATCCATATTAAAGACTAATCCTATAGTTAATATATGCATTCCACACTCATTATCTAACCACTATAGAGTATAGTTTTAATAGGTACCCCACCCACCTGTATTAAGACAGCTATATTACTATATATAGGAGTTCACCATTCAGACATATATTAGAAGAATATTTAATACCTACTATAGAGCATATAGATACCTCTTAAGGGTAAATAGTTGAGAGATAGAGATTCTAAGAGTAGTTAACCTATTAAAGATAAAGGCTAAATTAAGATTAAGTTTAGCTAATATTAATACTATATATGCTTAGCTTTTTCCTTCTAATGAAGGTGGGCAAAAGATACTATAGATAATAGTTCTAACTTAATCTTAATCTATATAAGGATTTACCTATTCTTAATCACCTCTTAGCCTGCTTAACAGAGGCAAATTACTCCAATAGTTAGAGGAATAATATAGATAAGGAGCTTAATGATTTAATTTACTATAGGGTATAGAGGTGGGTATTATTTTATAGCTATTTAAACTAAAAATTCTATATTACTACTTAGGCCTTTATAATTCTATCTGATTTTCACTTCTCGCGTGGAAATTCTTTACTATATAGATTCCTATCTAGGATTATTCCAGCACATATAACCATAGGGTGTGGAAAACAGGGCTTCCCGTCCGCTCAGCTGTACTTAAACCACACGCCGGCCAGTTAGTAGTTAGGTGGGTGACCACCAGCGAATCCCGGCTGTTGTATGTCCATGTTCACTTTTTTTGTTATTCATTGGGACATTTGCTCTTGCCGCTTTACTCTTCAGGCCCTTTAGGCCCCATTAACCCGAACGTCCTGAACATCCCTAAAGCGCTGGCCATAGCCTAGGCGAAAACAGAAACGTAAGTGGAAGGAGTACACCTTTTTTCATATATTACCAATCTCTCTTTCTTGCTGCGCCGCACGGGGAGACAAGACACAAAGTTCAGGCTACTCTATCTTAGCTATCTCGTTTTTCGGGTCTGGTTACGTTTGTATTGAGGAAGGAAGTCATTTCTTTCTGGCGAGGAACGAGAGGCTATATACACAGAACATGAAGCCCGAGCTGAGTTGCACTCAAGTAGAAATAAACTTAGCCTTCCCTATAGAAACACAGGATTTTGATCTTACAGCTGTGTTCCTGGTGCACGCGTGCCTTATACCACAACACTTTGTATTGGTTGTGGGCAATTTGCGGCCCTTACCTGAAAGGCTCAGTCCAAGTCCGTCCCTTTCATCATTTCATAGACTATGTTGGACCTCCTTGATGAACTGTATCAGTTTGGGGCCAATCTTTCCTGCTAGGAACTGATCACCCTGGCTGTTAGGATGGACACCGTCGCCCCGCAGCATATTATTTGTGAAGCCAGCGGCCCGTGAACAGTCAGCAATAACAACAGGAGACTCAGCTGTTGTTCTCTGTTGTACCCAACCGGGGATGGCGTTGTTGAGGGCCTCAATGGTCGGGTCGCTCCAGCTTGTCGGTATCAGCTTATCCACCTAGGGAGATGCGCGTCAGCGTTTGACCAAGCAGATGAAAGAGTCATACGATGATCAGGAAGCATAACTTACAATAACCTTGACCCTAGGGTTCGCGGCGCGCATTGCGTTGAGCATGATTGTGTACGAGTCAATGATACTCTCGACGTTCCGCTTGCCGATGTTAACATCGTTGGTGCCAAGCATGAATTGAACGATATCGGGCTTGGTATTCTGAACCCAGCCCACGATATTGTTCCTGGCAATATCATACGCCTGCCAGCCTGAGTGACCTTCGTGGTTCGGATCAAAACCCGGAGGCCTCAAGCACTGGGGTTGGAGGGTATTCATGCTGCCGACGAAATCGACACTACCCGCCAACCCAGCGGTTGTGATTTGTTCCCACACTAGGGGTCTCCAGCAGGTTATTTCAGTAATGGAGTCGCCGAGCAGCACTAAACAACCCCCACCCGCTATATTAACCTATTGCACGAATACAAGATGCCGCCGCGAGGTGTTTACTCACTGACTTTGACCGCTTGTGCAACCGTACTGGACGTAACGCTAGCAAAGAGCGCAAAACATGAAAGCTTCATGATGATAACCATGCATGACTTGGAATTCTGGGCTATGATCCTAGGGAGTACCAGATGATCGAGCTTCGTCGTGGCATCACTCAAGGCCGGACCACCGTCCTATAAATAATTTTCCTCGCAAGTTCTATCCTCTACTTTGAGTTTATGCGGGAATTTTCGAGCTCCGTCTTCACATTATTCATCCGAAGGGAGGGAGGAGATAGTCCGGAATTAGGCTATGATATACGACTTCAACCTTGCAGGCGAACTATTCTGAGCTTGCAAGGAGCCACATCGCCATATACGGTACGATATGTTTCCATACCCAGAACGAGTGGAACTTGTGGGCCGACGACTTTAGCCTTAATTACCCATTGAATTGCGGGAAAGTGCGGAGCGGGGTTCAATCTCCGTAGGGATGCATCTATAGCAGAAGTGCCCAGCCAATGGAAGTATTTCAGCGGCCAATTTTCTTCAAACTGGCAGCACGAGCGCCTCACTTATGACCAACAACTCTTGAAAAGGAGACGTCAACTTATAGCAGCTCCGTTAATATCCCGGAGTGTTAACTCTCTCCTCAGGAGATTTCCCAAATATAGGCTATTATACAATTCGGTCCTTCCACTCGAAAACATGACAGATGTCACGGGCATAGGAGTCTTTCCTCACTTCCTACTCCGCAGTTGTCGGACGAACGGATATCCGGGGTAATAGGCTCTGCTTGGCATACCTACATACCCCACACTTTTCTTCATCACATTGATTTTAGCCGATCTCCCTCCGTAATAACAATCCAGTTACTCAAGGCGTGTAATATTATCAAATCTTCTTCTGTCTCTGATGCTGTGGTCGTGCTCAAGTACTGACCTTTTTTTCCTCCGCTCTTGATATCGGTTGAAATCAGGCACGAAGTGGGCAGGTTTCTATCCCGTTCAAGCGGGTCTGTTCACAAATAACACCTTCAATATATCCCTTAGCTACAAACCCTCTAGGCAATCCAGAGCTTCCCGGTCAGACATCAGACGGGGGTTTGCATTGGATCGGTTCCTTGACTTCCCATTATAACACCTCGCTCACATTGTCATTCAATTTTGCTGTGGGTGGAGCGACCACAGACTCCGATCTTGTTTCCCCATGGAACACCTCTATCCCTAGTCCTATTGACCAGGTGAAGCTCTTTAGCAAAAGTATTGCTTCGAAGTCGCTATCTGCTCCTTGGGATAGTTGCAATACTCTAGGCGGTATATGGATGGGTATCAATGAACTTGGGAGTAGCTATGCACGGGGTGACTTAGACACACTCCTACTCCGTATTATGAACAGTTACTTGGGCCAGCTACAAATCCTGTACAATGCAGGATCACTGGCCCTCGTGAGCTTACTCTTACACGCTGCTCCTTTCTATCCTTTCTGATCTTGACTCTGAATGCTAATATTTGTATCATAGCTATAAAGAAAACACCAATATTTATAGAAAGAGGCAGCGAAGCTATTGCCCAAGAGACCGCTGCAATTGAGAAATATAATAATCTCCTTGCGATTCATCTTTCCAAATTCTAGACTTCCAACACCGATGCTAAAGCAAAACTGATCCAAACGGGGCCGGCCTTCAACAAAGCTCTCAACAATCCGGAAGCGTATGGTGCACCAAATTAAGAATAATTCTCACGGCAATAGGCGACTGATCCGAAGGGTAGGACAACATCATCATCAGTGCATGCACCTTTGATGGTTGTCCGAAGATTTTCTAGGTGGGCTCGGCAGTTGCTTTCGCATAATTCTTCAGGTTCCTCGGGGGAAGAACCTCGAAGCTCGAGTCTCTTTACCATGTGAGTATTCATAGAATCCGCCAGAATCGAATATCTAACATACTCATATCCGGTATGACGGGCAACCCGAGCGGGACAGGATGAGACGGTAATGTTGATGGCGGTGAAGCAGGAATCACTCAAGCCCAGCTCTTCGTAAGGTTAACGTAGCCATCAACCTGCTGGGCCCAAGTGACGGTCAGCAGGGCGCCCACTATTGCTAAATATCTCATCACTACTCAAGGGGAAATACGGAAGATAACAAAAGTAAACATGTTGAGTAGATGGCAAAAGTTCGAGAAAGAGAAGCAATAATCCAGCAACAGCGATGACTTGACAATGTCAGCAGAACTCCACTTTTCCCTTGAAAACGCGTAAACGTGGCCATCCAAGCGGCTTCTCATGGCCCAACGAGAAAGCGTCAAGACCTAATGGACAGGATGGATGTTACAGCAGGGTAGCTATTTGCTGCCAATTCGAAAAAATATGTAGTATAGCGCAAAAATCCCTTCCTCGCGATTGAAGTAATCTGACGACGCTACAATATAAAAAAAAAATATATATATATATACAGAAGAGGCATCTGATTCAGCTGCAGAGATTTTCCCATGCACGACAAAAAGAAATTGAGTCTTCAGAGGATAAACAATCCAACATCAACTCATATCCATCTGGACTACCTAAGCCTTGGCTTCGTGTTCGGCGCTCACCTCAATCAACTGCATTTCGCAGTCGCGCGACCGACGAAATGACCATTTCGTCTGATCCCAAAGGCCGTCAAAGCAAAAGCCTGGATGGAGAATGGTCATGCAGATAACAGCAATGGCAATCATTGCTCCCTCCAGAATCATAAAGAGCACCTGGTTGTTGGCTAGCGAACTGTGGAATCCCTCATTAAGCTCCGCCACTCGGAAGACAGATCGCACAAAGATGGTCAAAGTAGCAAGAGCCAGACCTAAAAGAACATAGTCAATTCTCCGTGCAATTAATCCAGTGGACTGAGAATGGTAGTCTTTACCTGCCAGGAAGGCCTTCCAGCGGAGGCTCTGTCGGAGCTCCCGCATGCGGGTGTCGGGGTTGAGGTCCTGCGGGTTCTTGATCACTTTCCAGGCGAAGTCGAGGCAGAGGACCATAAAGAGAGCCAGAGACGCGACCTGGCTAGCGAGTCCGGCAATCATGATGTTGATACCATCCTGAGCGAGATCGTACTGGTCGGCATCTGCGATGGAGGTGATGGCACCGCCCGCCGCTTGTAAGATGAGAGAGACCAAGTCACACCCAACGAAGACAATCGTGTATATTTTCGGACGGAGGCGAGAGATACTCTCGCCGTAGATAGTCACGATGCGTCCCAAGCAGATGTAGATGGAGGCGCTGAGGAAGGCTGGCCCGATGGTCAGGCAGATGAGGTACCTGTTGTAGGGATCAGTATTAGATCAAAATTGGCTGTGAACGGCGTGGTGACATACTCCAGATACGGATCGAAGCGGAAAGGATTGTTATGCAACTGAATCCGTCCGAGATACCCGATGATTTCCAAGACGAGGCCCCCAAAGAGACCTGCAAAGTAGCCCCAGGTTCGATAGCGGACCACGAGCACCGCTTGAGCGGCTAGTAGCACGACAAACAAGGCCAGATAGAAAGCATTGCCAGCCAACGATGGGACATAGTAGACATACGCCTCTGTAATCGGGCAAATGTCCAAAGTGCAATAGTCTGAGGGATCCGTGGAGTTACTCATGATCGCGAAGATGGAATGGGAATTGAGCTTGTTTCCTTTTTCAGTCTTCCTACCTGGATTGGTGACCGACGATACTTAACTTAACGACGTTTTTCGTTGCCTGGAGGCTAGATAAAGAGGTCACAAACTTAGAAAAGCCATGTCCATGTTGGGGGTCTCATTGCAAAACGAACTGCAGGCCGGGAGTCCTTGTCCGTGTTGGCATGCCCGTCCGTACCTGCTGCGTCCAGGGTCACCCCGGCGTATTCGTGGCTAAGTATGAGACAATACCGATACGCACACATGCACTTGGATGTAACTCAAAACATGAGTGGCATCGGTGCTTGACTGAGTGGATCTGTTTAGTGCGATTGCCAAGAGATATCGCCGCGCGGATGGCTGGGTTGATCCGGACACGGACACGGACACGGACACGGACACGGACAAGGACAAGGACATAGGACTGGGCTACAGACACAGACATGGTGATATTATGGTTGTTGATTTGTTGCCAACTCGTTCTCATAGACACGCTCGGACACGGACGCGGAACGGAATCATCTAACCGCCCCACAGGCACAATGCAGGCCTAAACCGTCTAGAGTGCTGCTATGAGCTGTGCTGCTAATCAGATTTCATCTTCATCTTACCTGTCGGGAGTTGCTTCACACACACTAAGCAACGTCCGTGTTTTGGCGAAGATGGCTTTGTCGTGGGGGCAGAAATGCAAAGGGCCTAGCTAATTACTGCTGATGGTTGATATTTTTTCCCTTTCCGTTTCCTCTGACCATGCTCTGGGCTGAGAACGTCTTCTCTTTCTTCTAATTTCCGGCTGTCTAAGTCTACCAGCACGATGCTCTCAAGCGGGAGACTGAAGCAAGTTCACTGACGCACTCTGGATCAAGTCTTGAAGTGCCAGTCTTGGCTTCCAGCTCTATCATTGTCACCCAAACTGGAGGTCATCTTGACTCGAGCCCGTCAAGGGCCTCTGATCTCGTGTCTATCGGTCTATCTGCTCGTCGTATGCCTATCATGGCTCGTCTCTTTCCTACAATTCAGAATGATGTTACATGCCAACCTCGTCGCGACTGAGGACCTGCTCCCTAACGCAAGCTGGGCAGCTGGGCTCCAAACAGCACACATCGAGCCCGTCCAATGGGCCCCACCATCCACCACTGATGAGACGGCGATGTTGAATAGCTCTGTCGCCGGCATCCCCCGGGTCATTCATCGGATGTGGCAACACCGCACGTCGGAGACGCCAGAGGATTGGACTAACGCGACTGCCTCCTGCCGCGACCAGAACCCCGTTTACCGGCAGTACCTGTGGACATTTGACACAGCGCATCAATTCATACGCACCCATTTCCCCTGGTATCTTCCAACATATACGAACCACCTTCTGCCGGTGCAGCGGGTCGACGCGCTTCGCTACTTTCTTCTTTGGCACTACGGTGGCGTGTTTCTCGACCCGCAGATAGGATGCCGCCAGTCTCTGGAGCCGCTGCTGCTGCTAGGGACAGACAAGGGCCAGGCCCAGGCCCAGGCTCTGTTGCCCCAGAGCTGGCCGTATGGCGTCACCAATGAGTTGATGGCGAGTACGCCGAGGCATCCGTTTATGATCAAACTGGCCTTGACATCCCACGAACATCACTGGTCGGCCATTCCGGCCTATTTCATGGCCTTGGTCAGTTTGGGACCTGTCCTCGTCAGCCGCGTTCTGGCCGCGTGGCTCCGGTCTGTTGGCGGTGGGCCGGCCGCGCTCGCCATCTTGCCATCGGCGCTCTATGATGATAAAGCAGAGCAAGCATTTTTCTTACGGTTCGAAGGCCAGATGCCGCATGGAGATGAGGTTGCAGTTTCATTGCATATATTCGGCAATTGGCTCGGGTGGTGTGGAGCGGCTGTGTCGTTGATTGTCATGGCTTTTGTCATCTTTGGCGTTCGGTCCGGACCCAAAATGCGACGAAGACAGGATGTTTCTGATACACCGGAACCATTTGTATAGATCACCGAGACCTATCAGGTTGTGTTATCTAGTTTAGGTACACCATAGTATAGTACTGTGAATGAGCTTTCATCCCTGTGCAAAGACGTCTACTCAAATGCTGCGGGTCCTTGCGTCATCCAGCCTGCAAAAGGGTCATCAAAAGTTGGACTGGGAAACAACCCTGGCCATTGAAAATCAAATTCATCGCGTGGGATGGTAGGATAACCTTCTATCTCTTCCTCCGATGGCATTTGAGCGATACTTGGATCAGACAAGCCATCCATGGCGACCGCGAATGACTCATTCTGCTGCGATCGCGACAGTGTCCGACTTTCAAACCACCATTGCGCCCGACTTAGCCGTTTCTCATAGTGGTAGAACACATCACGGTCACCTCGTGCATCCAGATGGGATGTGACAAGCGCTTGGATGCGCAGGACGCACCGGCTCAACATGTTTGAGAGGTTCAACGCGCGGGTCAAATCGGCCGTGTGAGGGTGGATGGAGGGCTCCGATGCGGCGACCACGAGCTTGCAGGCCAATGTCACGGCAAAGCCGAGCTGGATCCAGCCTGCATTGTTGAAGGCAACTTCGCGACGGAGGGGAAGGGAGATATAGAATTCCAGCAGCGTGCGCGCTGCGGTGAGACCCATACGTAGAGATTCGACCTAGTGATTCTAGAACATTCTAGATCTATCTAGGCCTACCAACCATATCTAGCAGAATGAGAAATAGCAAATCTATAGAATACTAGTGCCCCTAGTAACGGTATCGTGCGCGGAGTCCACGTTTGCCATACTAATTACAGGTGACCATAAGGTCTAGTGAGCGCAGAGTCCATGTTGATTCCTGTCCACTCTGGAGTCCATGGGTCCCCACTATCCTGCCTTAGCAGAGTCTATATCTTACTCCTGGAGTCTATGTTTCCCCCTAAACTTTTTTTTTTTTTTATCTATTTTTCTTTTCCCCTCCGCCGACTCTCCCCGAGCCACTGACCATCATGTAGTAGAGGTTTGATTTTAATTAAGTCTTAATACTATTACTATTACTATATATATATGTATTAGAGTTAAATGTCTGTAAGAGGTTTTGTAGTTATCTATAATTTATAATTTATAATTTATAATTTATAATAATAGTTAATCAACTCCTTATCCCAGTGATCTATCCTATATTAAATTATATTTTATTCTCTAGTATAGTTTACTTCCTAGTTATTTATCCCATCTCCCTCCAGAGAGTTAATCCTCCTAAAGTTAAGTTATAGTATGCCCTTAAAATTATATCTCTGATCAAGGGGGATAGTAGCTAAAGTAATTATAGATACCTCTCTCCTATGGCCTGGTATCCTATAGTCACGCCTTAGGTAAAGCTATCCATTAAGTTAATCCACTATCTACTCCTACACAGAATATAATGATTAAGTATTTAAGTATGATCAGGATTATCACAGTAGAGGAAGAACCCAGCTAATTAAATTATAAGGTGTGCAAGGTATGATATAGTTAAGGAGGATCTTACTTATATTTTATTTAAAGCTAGTGCTTCCACTACAGGGGGAGAGTATAGGAATATATATTTCTAAATATTAATATTATTAATAAATTTTCATTCCGCGACCCCCCACTATAGGGCGTGTAAGTTAACTATTTAAGGGCTAGTGGTAAATATTTCCTTATAATAAACTAGGCTCTGCCCACAAAAGTGAAGATCTATCTAGAGAGAGAGAAATAAGAAATAATAAACTAGGGTATTTATACTATGTTCTAAAAATCATCACTGCCTATCTACTCATTATTTATATGTGCTTATTAATAACTAAAGCCCTAAGGCCAATAGCACTGAGAGAAAGAAAGAAAAAGGCTAGTAGTTAGCTTATAAAGCCTTATAGTTATAAGGTAGTTAAGTAATGAAGAATACAGTAGATAAAGGCTGTATAAAAAGGCTGCTAAGGCTCCCATAGTGGTAGTATAGTTAATAAAGATAAAAGGGGGGTAAGAAAAAAAGCTATATAGAAGGGCCCTAATATTCCTATCTATAGTAGGGTAGTAGTAGTGTAGTTACTAAAGATAAAATAGGGGTGAGAAGAAAGCTATATAGAAGGCCCCTGATGCTCTTATAGTGTGGTAGTGTAGTTAAAAGCAGGGGTAAGAAAAAAAACTATATAGAAGGCCCCTAATGCCTCCCATCTAAGGTGGTAGTGTGTAGTATAGTTAACTAATAAAGATAAAACTAGGGGTAAGAAAAAAGCTATATAAAAGGCTCCTGATACTCCTATAGTAGTAGTATCATCAACTAATAAAGATAAAACAGGGTAAAAAGCTATATAGAGTGATTTATGGCCCTTTTAGCCCTAGCTAAAAAGTAAGGGCTATACCCCTAATTAGAACTTATACTAAGCAGGCTTTCACTGGCGCCTAGGGCACTTAGCTACTACTATTAGTACTAGAGTATTATTAGTCCTAGCTAGGGAGAGTAGTGCATGGGTAGAAAGTAAAGAGAAAGAGAGAAGAGAACTTACTAGATAGTATCTTATATTTCTAGTAAGTCCCCTACTGACCCTGCTGGCTAGGTAGTGATGTAGTAACTTAGGGAGGTATTCCAGGGCTAGACTAGCCAGGAGGAGTATTAGTCTAGTAAAGGGAAGGTAATAGGTAGCAAGGCCTATTTAGGCTACTAGGGGAGCTTAGCAGGGAGCTTAGTAGTAATATCTCTCTAGATAATACTAGTGGATTTAGATTTAACTAGCTTAGTAATAATATGCTCAGAATAACCCCCTAGCTTATCTAGAGTAGAGATCTTAGTTATATTACCTAACTCTAGAAATCCACTGTTAGAGCCTAAATCTATATAAAGGGGGAAGGGTTTAAGGGGGTATACTAGGTCTAACTATAATAATACCTCTATCTTCTTATCCTAGGTAGTAACTTAGACCTCCTTTAAGTACCTTAGTGCAGCTTTATATTCCTCTAGGCTTAGGTCCACCTATGCTAGATAATGACCACTGCTACCAGGGCCATTACCATTATTATTATTATTATGCTTATCACTACTATCACTATTACTTAAGCTAGGCTAACCACCCCTACTACTAGGGCTATTACCATTATCATTATCATCATTATTATTATTATTATTAGGATAGCAGGAGTGGTTATACCTAGAAGAATTAGACCTACTTTAGCTTTTACTATTATTCTTCTCACTATTAGACTACACATATTTATCTAACTTAAACTATCCTAACTGTTAGCCTTAAGCTCAGAGATAGACTAGGGTTTTTAGTCCTAGCTAAGTATCCACTAGTCTTAGCTGCGACCAAAAAGCACCTAAAGAGAGGGGAGGATGGTGGGTAGAGAAGAGGATAGGAGTACTTTATCTTAGTAGCTATTATAGCCTTATTATGCCTCTATTAGGCAGGGCCCTTGCTTAGTAAGCTCTGCCTAACCCTTTTCTAGGTGTAGTCTTTAGGAGTTAACTTTACCTATATATAGTTAATATCTTGCTGTGGGAGACTAAGGTCACCTAGATTATTAATACTAAGCTAACTAGCTTGCTAGCTAAGTATATAGAGGAGGTAATCCTCTACTACCTACTAAATAACCCTGGCCTCCCTAGCCTCCTATGCATCCTTATTAGCCTTATATATATCCTTATTAGCCTTATCTGCATCTGTTATTGCCGCCGCTATTACTAGGGGCTTGAGAAGGTCATAGAGGGATGTAGCTAGCTAAGGGAGGGCCTTTACTATATTATTATACTCTACCTATCTTAAGATTATATACTCCTAGAATAGTATCTAGGCCTTCTGCAGTGCACCCTATCCTAGATAGTGGACCTGCCCCACCACCTAGAATAGGGTATTTAGATTATACAGGGGCTCTAGAAGCACTACTTAACTATACTAGATATATAGGTTTAGGCTATATGCCCTATACTAGTAAGATGTTAGTAGTATGTAGTAGTCACTATTAGCTTAAGTAAACTATTTAGCCACATCCCATTGGGTGGCGTTATTTATAGAGGCCTAGATGGTAAGGTATTTTATACTAATAGTATCTAGGAATATTTTAACTAGCTATATAACTATAGGCTAATAGGTAAAGAGTAAAAAATATAGTGCTAGTATATTCTTAGTGATAAAGAGACCTTCTTAATAAAAGATATATAATAGATAGTATAACTTTATTATATCTACTATAAGATAATATACCTTCCTTAACTAGTTTATTAATATTATATTTTAGGCACCTTTACTTATCCGCTACTAGAAATTAGAGAAGCTATAATTACTGTGTTTAATACTCTTTCTAATAGCTATTACTATTATATTAGATTAATTATCAGCTTACTAGTAGTACTTATTAAGTGTTACACTGAAGGATAAGTGGTAGAGAAGGTATATAATATACTAATTAAGATAACCTATATTATTACTACCTAGACCACCTATACTATATACCTCCTCTATTAAGTTACTATGTCCCTTCTTCATCTTAGATAGGAGCTTTATAAAATATATATTATAGTCTTTACATAATTATAGTGGGTGCTATAGGTTAATTATTATAATCTATAGGATAGAGATATTATCACCTATAAGGGCCCCTTATATATTAGCCCTATTAATAGGGTTGCCTATGTCATATCACAGGCAGGTTATATATATAATTAGAGGGAGTGCCTAGAATGCATCCCTTAGTATAAGGTAGCTAAGCTAGAAAAGGCTAATAAACACCTTAGGTTATAATAGGTGGTAGGGGGGTGGGGTTAAGAGCACTACCTAGCTAGTAAATTACTTATATTCTATAAATTAGTCTATATTACTATTATTACTACTATTATTAATAGCACCAGCGTGCTTTATGCTTAAGTATAGAATGGCTAGATAGCCTAATATGTTAAAAGCCCTATTATATAATAGTATCACTGTGAGAAACTAGATATATTCTACTTTAAGCTAGCTAACTAACTAGTATATATATATCTAGATAGTCTTAGCTATATAGCCCTCATTATAGACTATGTGGCTAAACTACCTAGATATTAATATTTTAAAGCACTTACCCAGGTATATCTTTTAGCTAGAGCTAACCTTATCCTCTATCCTACTATTCTTCTTATCACCTTATAGCTCTGTGAGTTACTTAATAGTGTAGGCATTCTTATTAGTACTATTAATATTATCTATCCTATCTACCTAGCTATTAGCACTCTTGCCCTTTATATTAACTTCCTGTATTATTTACCCTGACTAAGTAGTATATAAGGAAAGTATAATAGTGTGCATTATAGTAATATTAGTAATATCTAAGGACTATAGTCTCTTCTTTAAATTACTTAGGGTGTTAACTATAAGTTACTTCTATAGATAGTCTAATATATAGACTAAGCTCCCCTAGAATAGAAGGATAGTAAAGCTATCTCTTAGATATACTTAGAGCTCTATTAGCTACATGCTAATTAGGGTACTTAGGTAGAGGATTAATATAGGTCTATATATATATATAGGGTCCTTATTAGTGGTAAGAGATGCATACTATAGCATTATAATTAAAGTCATAGTCTTACCTATCCTATAGATATCTACTAGAATCCTACTACTAATAGGGCTCTTCTCTTAGCTAAGCATCTAGGCTATCCCTATTACCTACTATAGCTTAAGCCA